TTGCTAAATGCAGCTTTTGCCATGGCAATTCTGGATTTAATTTCACACATACACCCTCCCTTTATTGTGACTGGGGTTGGTTGTCTCGAAATTTTCATTACTTTTGTTTTTTCCACATTCATTTCCATGCCATCGCGCCTTCCAATTTCTATTAGTCTATCAATCATACCCTGTAGCACAGTTTCTTCCTTAGCCATTAACACAAGGTCATCAGCATTAAAAGGAAAAAAATTAATGTGTTACATCACATATAAACTTCTTAAAAAAAACTGTTACGGTTCTGTAACACTTGCAAACACTGTTGATTCTCATTTTGATGTCTTCTGTCTAACTTCATAGTGCTGAGCCCTTTTTGAGGAGCTGCTCAAGAACTTTCAAGCAATTTATGGAACCTGAAGGTTCATTACTATGTTTGCAAGAGCCTTGTACTGGTCCCTATCCTGAGCCAGATCAATCCAGTCCATACCACCCCATCTTATCTCTCTAAGATATCCATTTTAATATTATCCACCCACCTATGTCTTGGTCTCCTTAGTGGTCTCTTTCCTTCTGCCTTTCCCACCAATATCCTGTATGAATTCCTCTTCTCCCACATTCATGCTACATGCCCTGCCCATCTCATCCTCCTTGACTTGATCATTCTAATTATACTTGGCAAAGGGTACCAGTTATGAAGCTCCTCATTATGCAGTTTTCTCCAACCTCCCATCATGTCATCTGTCTTCGGTCCAAATATTCTTCTCAGCACCCTGTTCTCAAACACCTCTAATGACAGAGACCAAGTTTCAGACCCATACAGAACCACAAGCAAAATTATAGTTTTGTATATTCTAATTTTTATGTTTTTAGACAGCACATGAGAAGACAGAAGGTTCTGGACTTAATGGTAGCAAGCATTAACCAGATTCACTCTCCTCTTAAATTTCCTGTAGAATCAGGTTTTGATTTGTTACTATCGTTCCCAGATATTTGAACTGCTACAAATTTTCAAAGGTTCTGTTAGCTGTTTTTATGTCATGCTTTTTCCCTGCATTTTGGTGACGAGACAGCAACATATACTTAGTTTTCTCTGCGTTTACTTCTAAACCAACCTCCTTCCTAGCGTCAGTTAAAGTATCTATGTTTTTCTTTATGGTATGTATGTTATCTCCCACTAGATTCACTTCATCAGCATAGATGAGCAGCTGATATATCCCATTTAATTTCAGTCCCACCTGGTTTTCCTGGACCTTGCTAATGGCATATTCTAAAGCAAAGTTGAAAAGCAATGGTGATAAAACATCTCATTATTTTATTCCATTCTGGATAAGAAAATTATCAGACAGATGTTTACATATGTGAACTTTACTGTATCTTTCTTTTAAACAGATTTTAATCAGCCTAAACAGTTTCACGTGTACCCCAGACTTCTGTTTAAAGAGTAGTGTACATATTTCACCCATATTGACTGTTGCAGACATTGGTGCAAAGATGAATTTATTTTACATGTTAGGTGATTTTAAGATAATTTAGTTTTCAGATTAAATCAGAAAATGAAAGCTTGTTTTCTTCTTAAGTAAATTCTTTTGCCAACTTGATGTCAAGATATCAATACTTTTCCTCTCTAGCACGGCTGATGTGTGAGCCCTAGAACTGCAATGGGGACAGTAAGATTAATAAATTCCTACACTTTTAAGTACTTTTTTTTTTGTGATTATTTATTCATTACTGGAACTAAGAGTATGAAATTAAGCAGTGCAGTAAATTGTAATTATGTCTACTTGTACAAATTTTGTGTAATACATTCTTTGAACATTAGAAAATACCAATGTTGGAGAGATGCAGATTTATCCTTGTATCATTGAGGATTTTAGTAAAGACGGTTGAAACTTCAAGGATGTGTAAGATAAGATGCTCAGATTTGTTACTAGAGCTGAAAAATGTCCAGACAGTTTGCAGAAGTATTAGGGAGAATTTTCGGACTTGGTTTCACAAGGTTTACTGCAAAAGCAGAAGGCACATCCTTTGCTTATAATATTTGTACATTAAATTGTAGGACAGAATAAACATGAGAAATCTTCATGTCAGAATAAGGAGGCACCATCTCTCAAGGAAGGACTTGGAACTCCCCCAGAGTCCATTAAGGAGAAGAAAAAGCCTCCTGTACCACCTAAGAAACCAGCAAGACTTACTTTAAAGGTAATTAATTTGTGACCATTATTTCATACATACAGTCAGTTTTATACATAGAACACTTAAGGAAATCAAGTTTTTAAAAGTTATCATAGATGTATAGAAGAAAGCTTAAGAATGAGCATCCTGTTTCCTTAGTAATCTGTAATCCACAAAAGCTAACGATAGGCATCACGTCAGCTGTTAAAGATGTATAAAGATTAAGTCTAAACACAGGTAACTAAAGAACTAATTAAGAGAAATATGTCAGGCATGAAAGTCATTGATATTCAGACAGATGAATCCATTTCCTCCATTCTTTAATATGAATCACTGTACATAATACAGACTCAATCCCTACCATCCCAAACATATGCTGACCATCTTGCATGCATACGTGATGTAGGACACCTGTCACTGTTATTGCACTGTACCACAAACTTCAAGTCTTCCCCAGCAAGACACATATTCATCTTAGATCCTGAAGCTGATACACAGTATTCCCTACCACAATACTTAAAGCAAATAAATCCCTTTCACTGCTGTCTAAACATCCATAAGTATATCAGCAACTGTGTCATTCTAAGGGGTTGAAAAATATGGACCTTAGTCACCAGTGGTGACTGAAAAATTTTGGCTGATGACAAGTTTTCCACCCTAGTGTTTGGGAGTTGGCTTTTGGAGTTTTGGCAGTGTTGCTTGATTATGATCTCTAGCCTCTGAACAGAACATCTGGTCATGCAGACTGCTGTTCTGTAAATATGATTTATATTGTGGTGTATAGACATGTTGCTAGGCAAACACCTCAAAACAAACAACAGAACAGCTGTTGCCTGGTAAACGTGCCTCTACAGCAATAGAGTTACTGTTGGAAATGGTATTTTTTGTGTCATCCATGCTGAGGATTTATCTTGAAGACAACTGGGGCGACTCAGAGAGTTGTCTGCTGAAAGTCAGCCTGTGAAGAGAAGCCTAGGAGGTTGGTGTGAAATTGTCACATCCCTGGGAGTTAGCTGTTAGTTGAGAGTACTGCATGGGAAGCTGTGAAGATAGAACCTGAGCGTGTGAAGCTGAAGAATCTCCACCGTTAGAAGCTATTACTAGGGAACAGCTGAAAAAAGGCTTAGCGGGTGCTGTAGTGATTTGTAAACTGTGGAGATCAGCGATAGCGCTGTAATTATTTGTAGTTCCAAGTGGTGTGTATAAGTTGTCAATAAATGCATTCACCAATCTATACCCCATTGAGTCTCACACACACACAAATCATGACAGTATGCTGTTACATGGAGCTGTCCAGAACAATGAATCCTAAATATTTTTTTTTTTTTGGTTTGTGAAATCACTTGTAAGCTTGATGCACCAGAGTTCAGGTAGTTTAGGACAAACTATAACAAAAAGAAGAATTGAATGTAGTGTAGAGCAGAGGTGAGAGCCACAGCCATGCACCACCTAATACTGATCCACCTTATTTTGGCAACAGAACATTTTTCCAGCTACAAGATTTTCAGAAAACAATACTGAACTTTGGTGGCAGATATCTTGCAGTTAATAAGCACACTAAAACTGTGTTGATTCAGTATTCATTACATGTGACTTCACTCACATATCTGTGTGCATGAGATACCAGTTCTGCAGTTTATGTATGTGTTCTGTTTATAAACTTTGTGTACCAGGTATTTTTTTAAGTATGAAGGTAAAGAGACAAATGAAGATTTCAAATATAATGTTTATAATGCTGATTACACCAAAAGAAGTACAGTATACACCATCGTCAGAATCCTTTCAAGTCTATCTGATTACACCAGTTTGCAAATATAAATTTTACAACAGTTATTTTCATTTTAATAAGTCACTTTAAATAACTTTGCTCTGCTGATCTAAAAAATGCCATTCATACAGAAAGATTCTATACAAATTAGAAGTGAAAAATGCATTTTATGTTATCGGGTTGCATTTATTTATCATGTCCCAGTGAACAAATCACTTCTTTGATCTACTAAAACACCCAAAGAAATATATTGACAGTGACAAAAAATACCAAGTCAAATATTTGTATGAATTCAGCAGATTACCTGTGATCAAAACAATGGTGTTTGGTCTCTATTTAATGATCAGCTATCACAGTGACAATTCACCTTCCTTGATATCTCTTCTGAGCTGGGATAGCACACTCAGTATAGCACCTAGCTGCAGGTTGGCTGGCCGAGGGGTTCTGGTAGGGTCAAGATTTTTCTCCTCTAGGCCCACCCAGTCTCCTATCCAATGTGTACTGTGGACCACTTACATTGAACTAGTGCCAAGGTCAAGAATACATGGATCTATACATCCACTATTCTAGACATCTTCATGGTGTAGTGCTTAATTAGTTACGGACAGGGACAACTTTATCCTCTTTTGCCTTTTTTCTCATCTTTTCTGCATTTCTTTCATGTTTTGGTGAACTCTTTCTCCTTGTTCATGGCTGAAACCTGCAAGATTTGGGGGAAGTATTCCAAATGTGAGCATAAGGAATGAACCTCGAAACTCATATTACAGCTTAAATATTGAAATTTATTGCTTGTTTTCAACAGTAATATTGTAATTTTGGTCTTTGGTGTGACCCAAGAAGTTGTGTATAACATTTTTTTTTTAGTCTTCCCAAGTTTCTTTCAATCTGTCTTACAATTCCTTCAGAACCATTATCGGAAGTCACCATCCTGATCTGAGGCCCAATGACTGCTCATTCTTTAAGTTCTCAAATCTGACATGTGGAATTTGTTGTAGATGTATTTGAAAACAGTTACCATCTTTATCCAACACCTACACAAACTGCCTCATGAAGCCCAGTTTTATATGCAGTTTGGGCAACAGCATGTTATTTCTGTCACTCAGACCTTTATGTTTGATATTTTTCAAACCTAGTATCAGAGGGAGTCTGGGAGGCCACTGCTTCTTAGTCCAGCACAGGCTTCGTTCTGCTTTCCATTCACATGTACTAGATTGCTGAGTGAGCCGCATACTTAAACAACTTTCAAGTCTCCATTGAGTAGCTACTCATGCTTCTTGTATTTAATTTCCTCATGAAGATGTTTGAGATTTTCATATGTTTCCTTCAGTTGCACTGAATGAGCCATTGGAAGAGAAACGTATTTGTTACTGGTGTGAAGGGCAACTTTCAGGCTTCTCTTCAGAATCAATAAAAATGCTTCAGTTACTCCATTGATAAGTTGCAGCTGTTGGGTCAGGTATTATTAATCCAGCAATATTGCTGCAAAAAATAAATGAACCTTCCTGGGAAAAACAAGGAACAAATTCCTGTTTATGGTTTTTGTACCCGTAACATGGGTTTCCAGCAGAAAACAGGTTTTTAGTTTGGATTGCGGGTCCCAGGATCTTTGTGGAATCCCAGTGTGGAAGAGATTACTTTCCCCTTCTGGGATCAATGGCAGCTGAACTGAGCTGAGCCAATTTATGGAACTGTTACTGTGAAATACAAAGGGCTGTTGATATTCAGCTGCTAAGAGTATAACAGGAACCACTTAAAAAAATTAGAACCAAATTAGCAGACAGTGGAGCTGAAACCAATAAATGTTACTGTAAATATGAAGTTTTTTTTGTGGTTTCTTTTATGATGCTGTCAGTATCTAGAATGTATGGGTTTGAGTGGTAGAATAATTGAGTTGGAAAGGATTTTGAAGTGGTTGTGGCCCACTTCAAGCACTGTCCTGGCAATTTTCTGGAGGGACTGAATAAAAACACAAAAAATTTCAGTCAGGAGAGATGGTGTTCCAGCTGAGATTTAAACTGAGCACCTCCCAAATACAACTGCATAGTATTACTGCTACACAACCTACTCAGTAAGTATGAAATTCTGTGTTTATGTAGATGTGCTGCATTGTAATTAAGATCGAGTATGTTCCATGAACGGGATGCTGGGGGAGTGTTTAATGATTATGAGAAACTTTCCAGGAATTTGTGGCAACAAGAAAAACAGTGCTGTAGGAGGGCTTTTCCCATTTAGGTATGCCTAGGTGATGTTAGTAGAGGATTATTCTTCAGTGGGTGATGGCAGTGCCTAGAGGGTGGTTACAGGTTTGCGGGATGAAGAATTAAGTTAGCCACAGTATTTGTTCCTGCCCTAGCACTGAATTCCTGAAAGAAGGTAACTGCAGAGGCCTCAGCCACCATAGGGTAGCACAGTAAAGATAGATGGAAGTAAAAGAGGTGGTAACCACAGTGGGATCTGAGATTTCAGCCCTGTAGTGGTACATATAAAATGGTGCCATCAGTGTGATCTGGCATTACCAGATTTTTGGATTCAGCATGTTTGGATTATTATAAAAGAAGTATAATTCTCTGAACAATGGATCCATCACAGACCAGTGTTGTTAGTGTAACTGATGTATAATTCTGTTTTCAGGACAGAGATGAAGAGAGGAAATGTTTAGATGATGCTCTTGATGAGGCTTTGAAGAATTTAGCATTAGCTAAGGATGCAATACACAGTGAAATTGGAGATTTATCATTTCATGCAGAAAGTAACAGTCCAATACTAAGAAAGAAAGAAACGATCACCCATAAGATGAGTGATGAGGAAGTATTTGCTGAATTAAGGAGAATATGTCATCCAGGAGATCCTTATAGAAGGTTTGAACGAAGCAAAGAATTAGGTGCAGGGTAAGAAAATAACTATACTGTATTTTAGTCTTCAATTTTTTTTTAGAATTTATCTTTCATTTTAGTTGTAAAGAATATCTCAACCCTAATGTCATTAATATAAGCCTATGCAATTATGAACATTATTTGGTTTTTATCATTCATAGTCAGTACTTCCAGTATAACACATCAAGGACCAGTTAATATCTGTATGTGGTATGTTCAAAAAGTTTCAGAGAACTTTTGAAACAGCACACCAACTCAGTGTTTTAGCAATGTTGGGTAAGTTGTGCTGCCTAGTAGCGTTATTCCTAATTATCATCGTTTCTGCCGTGTCATCCTGCTGTGATTAGTCATTGCCCTAGAGGTGTTTGTTCACATGCATGTAAAGTGTGTCTTGTGATATTTCAGATGGCTGATATTCATGAGCAGCATATTAACATTAAATTTTGCTTCAAACTAGGGAAAACGTTTATGGAGACTTGTGAAAAGATGAGAAACGTTTCTGGTGATCAGTGCATGAACCATACACATTGTTATGAATGGTTTAAGTGATTTAAGTCAACACATGATGAGCCGTGTTTGGGATGGCCCACAATAACATGTGGCAACGCTCATGTTGTGCAAGTTCATGAAATTGTGCATTCCAATCATTGTTTGACAATGCAGGAAATAGCAGAAGAGTGCAAAATATCGATAGGATCATGTCATGACTTTCTTACAACAACTTTAGAAATGAATTGGGTAGTTTCAGAGTTTGTCCCATGACTTCTGACACAGGATCAGAGAGACACTCATGTTGCCATCTGTCAGGAACTTTTGATCATGCTAGTGAGGATGAAAGCTTTCTGAAAAGATTATAACCAGCAATGAAACATGGGTTTATGGACACGATGTGGAAATGAAAATGCAGTCTTCACAATGTGTTGGAAAAAATTCACTGAGACTGAAAAAGGCATAGCAGGTCAGGTCGAACATGAGTCATATTGACTGTTTTTTTTTTTACATTGAAGGTGTTGTGCCTCATGAATTCTTATGTCAGGGGCAAACAGTGAATTGCTGGTATTATTTTGAAGTGCTGGAATGTCAGGAGAAAAAACGCCTGATTCCTCCATCATGACAATGCACCAGCTCGTGCATCGCTACTGATTCCTGACTTATTGGCCAACATGAACATAGCTGTGCCTCCTCAGCCACCCTACTCAAGTGACCTGACTCTGGCAGACTTTTTCGTGTTTCCCAAACTGAAATCCACTTTGAAAGGATGACAGTTTTAGATGATTCAAGAGAGTACAGAAAATCCACAGGTGGAGCTACATGCGATCCAAATAAAGGCGTACTAGGACTGTTTCCAGAAGTGGCAGTGGCGTTGGGAGCAGTGCATCAATGCAGGAGGGCAGTACTCTGAAGGCAGTGAGGCTCACTCAGTTGCAGGCATGTCTAAAAAATTATGTAAAAAAATAGTCCTGAAACTTTTTGAACAGACCACATATACCACTCTGAGCTTTCAGGCATTTATAAGGTGGCTGTGTTCCAAGACCTTATCGAAAGGCTGTGGAACAAAATGAATTTTTTGGAATAATGTAGGCAATGCTTGAAGCATATGAGAGTTTATGCTTGACATCGTAGGTGTTAATATATGGTAGGTGTGTGGGGATCATTAGTTATGGAGGGAAGAAAAGCCAAGGGTTTGTACCTTGCCTTTTAGTGAAACAATGTCTTGAAACAGCAGTTAATAAATCATGGTTTGTTAGTCATAGTACATGATTTTTCATCCCTTGGGGTTGATGGTGTGCAAGTATGAAAACATAGTCTGTAATTTGTGGAAGAACATAAATTACAAGTGTTTGAAAATAATGTATTAGGGAAAATATTTCAATGTACAACGAATGAAATGGAGAATACAGGAGTTTTGTGATGTCTGCAGGTCAACAGCATTACAGTAATGACATCACATTCGGTTTGTATGGGTCATTTCATAGTGTTAGGACAGTGAGATTTAGGAGACTATGATGTGCTGGGAATGTAGGTGAGATGGAGTTCCATCTTCATACTAGATTTCACATAACTGGATGCATTGGTTCACTAATTGCTGCCATCAGACCAAAAGCTAAATATGGGTTTTATGTGGCCACCAATTTGTCATTTTATATTATGCAGAACTATTATCTCCCCTTTTTCCAAATGTATTCTCATGTGTCATTTCAGGATGCTACAAGTGGTTGTAGTGTTGCTTCCACCTCATTTCTTATGCCTGTCTTATTACCAATTGTAGAAAATTGAAGAGTATGATGTTGGGATTGCATCCAATAGCATAATGTCCAAACAGAATTTTGTGGAATCAGTCAGCTGGTTCAAAAGTTTAAATGAGGGGACACACTCTCACATAGAGAGGATGGTGACCTCTCACAAGCCAACTTTCTTTCCTTAAGAAAGTAAAGTAGTCCAAAAATGTTTGTGCCCACCTTCTGCCTCCTCCATCTAACATCATGTTCAGAACAAAATTGTTCTTGAACGTAAACTTTCCACTTGTAATATACGAGGGGCAGTCAGAAAGTTCCAGGAATGGTGGTATAGCACTCTAAAGGTAGGACATATGGCAATGCTTACCTAATCACCTTCAAAGTAGAACCCTTGTGCGCGCACACACTTGCTCCATCAATCCTGCCATTGTTGGAAGCAGCGGTGGAAGGCTTCTTTTGGAATCTTCTGGAGCTCAGCCGTCGCATTCCGTGGTTGCGAAACGTGTCCCCTTGAGGCCCATTTTCAGAGTAGGGAACAGCCAAAAGTCACTCGGAGCGAGACCTGAAGAGTACGGTGGTTGAGTGATGACAGGAATGTTTTTCTCGGCGTGGAATTGCTGCACAACAAGCAATGTGTGGCTCAGTGCATTATCGTGATGCAGAAACCACTGTCCCTGCCACTTGTCGCCCCGCTTCCTCCGAACCGCATCACGCAACCTCTGCAAAACTTGCACATAGAAATTGCCAGTAACAGTCTGTCCAGGCGGTACGAACTCATGGTGCACCAAACCGTCGATGTCAAAGAATGCGGCAAGCATCACTTTGTCTTTGGATGTAACGAGGCATGATTTTTTGGCTGAAGAGACGACGCTGTGTGCCACTCCGATGACTGCATCTTCGTCTCTGGGTCGTAGGTGAACACCAGTGACGATCTTTTTGAGAAATGTCGAGTCCTGCGTACTTTTGTCAAACAGATCGCCAGCGACCATCATGCGACATTCCATCTGATCCATGGTCAGCTGCCTCAGAACAAACTTCGCACTGACGCATTTCATCTTCAGATCATCAGACAAAATGTCATGAATGGATCTGTCAGAGATACTAACTTCTTGCTCCAACTCCGCGATGGCCATTCTTTGATCACAGTGAATCAGTTGTCGCACTTTTCCAATCATTTCTTCAGTTCTGGATGTCAAACGTCTCCTGCACATTATTAAACCGGGAAAACCAGTCGTAAACTGCGATTTCTTTAGTGCAGTATCACCGTAAACTTGCTGCAGGGCCGATTGCGTCCCTGAAGCAGATTTTCCCAATTTTCACATGAATTTGATGTTCGCACGCTGTTCGAATTGCGACATTGCGCCAAATGACCAACACTCGCATCTAATTCAAATGGAACAGTAACGACACTGCACACTGAAACCTGTCCAGACATGTTGCGCATGTGAGCAGACATGCTGAGCTTCCCATCACAATAGTATGTGCGCTATCTTATCACTCGTTCTCCGTCTGCAAGGGAATTCCGGGAACTTTTTGACTGCCCTATGTATATATATATAAAAGCGTAATGGTCTATTTGATTGATCCATTTATTTCTTCAAATTGGATATAAGGCACTATTGTAAGAAATCAAATATTTTTCTGATTTGCAGAGCCTCTGGAACCGTGTTCATAGCCACTGACACCATTACCAATCATCGGGTGGCTGTCAAGGATATTGATCTCTCAAAACAGCCCCGAAAGGAACTGATACTAACAGAAATAAGAGTTATGAAGGAATTTAACCATGAAAACCTTGTCAATTTCCTTGATGCATATTTGATTCATGACCATCTCTGGGTATTTATAAATTAAAGTTTCATTTACTAGCAGAATATTTTTATGTGAATTATATGAAACCTGGGGTCTTACCTTGTAGAAGACTGTTATATTTATGGAGCAATGTCATATTTACTGATATAATATACCCCTTCATATACTACTCCCCCCTTTGCTTTGGGGAAGGAAATATACAGATAATTTTTATTGCACAGTGTTCTTCCAAAACTGTCATGGTATGTTTTTTAGTTTTCATTTTCATCACTGACTGTACAGGAACTCATTTGAAGTCTGTCTCTGTGACTACAAAAAATAACACACTGGTGTGGAACTTTATTTGTAACAAGCTTGACACTTAGGACCAACAACTACCTACCCACAGCAGGTATAAGCTATTTTTAGGGAAATTATTGTGACATTAGTCTTCCAGAAGAAGAGTAAAGCTACTTTTAGTGTGACTTCCTTGACTTTTTTATAATCGAAGTGGCAATTTTAGAAAGTCCATATAAGATGCAAAAAAGTATATATATAACACAGAAATGGATGTCCTAAAAGTATGATGGTTTTGTTGTATAACACCAGAAGATCGTTAGAAAAATAATCTATAATCTTCAGAATCCCCCACCAAACACTGTTTTAAATGGGGGGATATTACATGAGTAAACATGGTATAAAGTGGTATGTTGACATAATGAACATGGACTTGCCTAAAGTTAGTATTTTTCATTTTCTGCCAATCTCGTACGTAAACAAATTGTAATTTAATTTTGCAATTTCATTTCTCCAAATAAACAGAGTTCCCCAAATACATACTTGTATGCAGTATAACAGTTTAAAACTTTTAACAGAATTTTGTATATGCATCACATAATTTAATAACTTTATAGACTAATAAGTTTTTAAAATTTGAAACATGCATTACTTTACCATGTATAATGGAATTTACTGTTGTCCATAATGTAAAGAAATGAAGCAAAGAATTGCTAGCGGCATTAAATTTACTTATCCAGTTCTTGGTATAAGGAATTAGGAGTTACAAAAAATATATCAATTAACTGAATGTGTCAGCATCCCAGAGACAAACTAATAACACAAATACGAATGTCTTCAGCATTCACAGACATACTCAGGGGCAGTAAATTTTGATATTAAGTAATGACAGTAAAGAACATGAGAAGTTAAAGTAGTTTCCAGTGCAGAGTAGGCTGGAAAGACGAGAAGAAATATATTACAGAATGAAAAATGGTACAGTCCTGGCAAATCTTTGTACATTTTTAAAAGATTTTTAATTTCACATCACTAATGGGGGTCAACACAATACATGTTTATTCTGGTAAGAACTGAGCTATTTACAAGTTGTTGGGAGAAGCATACACAAATCTGTTTCCAGAAATTAATATTTCCTTCTCTCCTCATTATTTTAATTCAATGAGTTTAATGTCAAGACACTTCAAACATCTGAGCAAAAGACTTGCCTGAGCTTGGTTTTTGATACATTCAGTTTAATTTGAAAGTCTTAAATATATTCTGTACTGCTTAATACTTTCTGGCAAGAAACTTGAATATTTCATTATGTCCGTGTATGCGTAATTTTTTTAATGGAGTACAGAAAGTGTGTGGATAAGTAGAATGTAAAATACAATAAAATATTGCTGAAATTGCTTTAAATTATGACCGTTTTGTCATATGTTATTTAGTTCTGTAGTATGAATACTGTATAGAGGTTTTAATAGTTTTACTGCAGTAATATTTTTAATTTCTTTACAGTAGTTAGTGTGCATAATTTGGAGTAGTTATGTGTTATGTCAATATAATGACGGTAGTAAAGTTCAGTTTTCCATAATAAATTAACACTTCTATGATACTACATGGGTTAACTCCAAGATTTTAGATAAGGTGATTAATTTCAAACATGAAATTAAGCCTGATCCTGTGCAGTTCATAATAATGATAATGAAGATTATTTTTAAAAGCAGCAAATATCAAAAACACATTCTTTTCATGAGTTACAGCAATATCTGTGACATCATGCCATTCACATACAGACATACTTAAGAGTTGTAATTTTGATGTGTAACATCTTTGCAGGTTATAATGGAGCTGCTTGATGGTGGGCCACTGACTGATGTTGTAACAGAGACTGTCATGAAGGAGGGGCAGATCGCAGCTGTGTGCAGAGAGGTGTTAAAAGCTGTGAATTTTCTTCACCTGAAAGTATGACACTGAAATACTGTACATTTATTATTTCTAATGTGCTTGTACTTGACTTCAGTGTGAACAAAATGAAGTCAGCAAAGTGTATAGTCAATTGCGGCTTCTTAGTGGGGGCTCAAGATATGTATTGTGGCATCCCTTAAACATGAAATTCCAAAAAAGGACCAGGGTCAGAAGAAGCTGAAGGGTGTGAATTTCCTTGTTCTGTATGGCAAATCAGTTACAGTTTTTAATTTAAACTATGTTGATTAATTTTTCTTATACTCTGGCAAGTATAAATTATTCACGAATTAACAACCAACTGTGGTATGTATACAATGTGATTTATAGAATGTACTTGGATGTACTGCTAAATGTCATGGTCCAAGTGGATTTCACATACCCAGCAGGCCCAGCAGTATAACACATGCAGTCACAGGAGCAAGACACAACACAAAGCACAATACACACATGAAAGTAGGAAGAATACTCCGATAGAAGAAGATAGGTGTGACTCGCGTATTGAGATATGACATAAGGATAACAAATCCTGAACAGTTTTAATATTTTTAATATTTAAAATTTATCAGTATATATGACGAATATATATTTTAGTTATTGTAGTATAAAGACAACAGGGCATGCAGTGAAGTAGTTTGACGTACATCAAAAAGCACCTGAAGATGGTACTTTAGTGCTGAAACATGTAGTGCAAGAGAGAAGAGTAAGGTGAATAAATGTATGCACTGTAAGACGGTCAGAATAAATCATGGACATCATTTCATTTTTATTTGGCATTTATAATTGCTACAACAGTAACACTCAAACAGGTCACATCATTAAATACATCATTCTTGAAATCCTTTTGCCAAATGCCCAAAAGATTAGAATTTGTCAACAATATATAATCACACTTGACATGGTTAACCTATAATTAAAATATAACATACACTTACTAACCAGATAAATAATCAAATCAGGTACATATGTAAATCAAAATGCAAGCCAACCTTATGAGTTCATCTCGAGATTTTTAACAGTATTACAGTAAATCAAGAGTCCTACATATAACCATGTCACTCACTGAACACATTAAGATACTGCAAGCAACCATTTGTTATCTATTTCCATTGCAGAATAGAGGTTTTGCTATGCTTACTACTGTTCCTCTAATAGAAACTCATACAATGTATAGAATGGACGATCTAGTATAAATACTTTTAGCCCATGTTTAAAGTCTTTAGATCCATCTGAGTTTCTTAATTCCAGAGGCAGTCTATTACAGTTTAATACCCATATTGATAACACTCTTCTTAAAAGTTGATGTGTTACAATTCGGCACATGAAAATCATCTTTCCTTCTAGTATTATATTCATATAAATCTGAATTTCTTGTATAGAGTATAAATTACGAGGGTCGTACTGAAAGTCATGAGCAACAATTTTTGTAAAGTAACATGCTTTATTATTGACAGACCAAATACACCACCTCAATCTACAGACCTTTCTTTATTTTTCCACATAATTGCCACTTCTTTGTACACATTTCTCCCAGCGTTCTGGGAGTTTGAAAATTCCCCTTCTGTAAAAATTCCATTCCAGCCATCTGAAGACACTGATGCACTGCTTTCTGAATTGCCTCCCTTGTCTCAAAACGTCCACGCAGCTGATCCTTCACAAATCCGAAAAGATGGTAGTCGGAGGGTGCCAGATCAGGGCTATAGGAGGGGTGTGGAAGAACTTCCCACCCCATCTTTGCAATTGCTTCCAATGTGAGGCGAGCGTTGTCATGTAGGATGATGATGTTTCGTCCTGGACATTTATCATGCAATGCACGATGGAGCTTGTGCAGCGTCTGGACATGATGAGCAGCATTGATGTTTGCCCAGGTTCCAGGAATTCACCAAGAATAAACCCCTCTGCATCCCAGAAGCCTGTGCCCATCAACTTCGCAGCTGATGGCACTGTCTTTGCTTTCTTTTTTGATGGAGAATGGAAATGGTGCCATTCCATACTCTGCCGTTTCATTTCAGGCTTGAAATGGTGAAACCAGCTTTGTCACCTGTCACAATACAGAGCAAAAAATCATCGCCTTCATGTCAATATCTCTGCAGCAGTTCTGAGGTGATGGCTTTTCACTGACCTTTGTGGTCTTCGGTCAATAACCGCAGGACCCAACGAGCACAAACTTTCCTATAGCCCAAGCCTTCAATCATCTCCTGTACTGCACTGTGCCCTATTGCAAGTTTTCGGGCTGTGTCCAAAGTCACACACCTGTCAACTTGAATGATTTCATCCACTCTTTCCTTGTTGCGTTCAGTTGAGGCTGTCCAAGGATGACCGCTCTGAGGCTCATCTTTGATGCTGGTGTTCCCATCTTTAAAATGTTTCATCCATCTTCGAACACTGCTCGCACCCATGCACACACTTCCATAAGCACGCTCAAGTCTCGTGAATTTCTGCAGCAGGGATTTCCTCTTTCACAAGAAATTCGATGACAGCATGCTGGCGAAACGACATTTTGTTGTCGGCCATTTTGTTAGGAGTGATACTGGTCACGTGATGCAAGCTATTGACGTCACAAGACAGTCAAGGTTAACACAACAGCTGGTTCCACCTACCACCATACTCTCTGTTGTCTTCTGTTCCCAGGTTGCATGCAAAAAAAAAGGTTGCTCATGACTTTCGGTACGACCTAAGTATATTTCTGAAAACAGCACAACACCTCAAAGATATACAAAGAGGTAACAGTCAAAATCTCTAATTCTTTCAAAATGGGTCTGCATGATGTTCTGCTATTTACACCTTTCATTAAACGAAATATCCTTTTTTGTGTTATCAGTACTTTGCTATTTTCACTTTCTCCACCCCAAAAAATCAAACCATAACTTACTAAGGACTGAAATTTGACAAAGTATATATATATATATANGTCGTTACTGTTCCGTTTGAATTAGACATGAGCGTTGATCATTCGGTGCAATGTCGCAGTTTGAACAGCGTGCGAACATCAAGTTCATGTGCAAATTGGGAAAATCTGCTTCAGAGACGCTACTGGCCCTGCAGCAAGTTTACGGTGATACTGCACTAAAATCTGCAGTTTACGACTGGTTTTCCCAGTTTAAGAATAGGCAGGAGACGTTAGAGGATGACCAGTGCAGCGGGAGACCTTCGACATCCAGAACCGAAGAAATGATTGGAAAAGTGCGACAACTGATTCGATGTGATAGAAGAATGACCATCGAGGAGTTGGAGCAAGAAGTTGGTACTGTTACTGGCCATTTCTACGTGCAAGTTTTGCAGAGGTTGCATGATGTGGTTTGGAGGAAGCAGCGCGAAAAGTGGCAGGGACAGTGGTTTCTGCATCACGATAACGCACTGAGCCACACATTGCTTGTTGTACAGCAATTCCTCGCCAAGAAAAACATTCCTGTCATCACTCAACCACCGTACTCTCAGGAGCTTGCTCCGAATGACTTTTGGCTGTTCCCTACTCTGAAATGGGCTTCAAGGGGACACGTTTCCCAACCATGGAGGACATCAAATCGAATGTGATGGCTGAGCTCCGGAAGATGCCAAAAGAAGCCTTCCACCACTGCCTCCAACAATGGCGGGATCGATGGAGCAGGTGTGTATGCGCGCAAAGAGTCCTACTTTGAAGGCGATTAGGTAAGTGTTGCCATATGTCCTACCATTAGTGCGCTATACTACCATTCTGGGAACTTTTTGACTGACCCTCGTATACAGGTGTCTCACAGTTATTCATTGCAGAATGACTGTTGTATTTCCGGATGTGGAAAAAGTACAAGATGCTCAAAGGGTGGTGATTTGTGTTAGTTTTTCCACATGCTCATTGTTGGAAAGATGGTAGAGGATGTAGCAGTGAGCAAGCCCTTAGCTTGCATTGCCAGGCATCTGCGGGGTGATAAAGGCAAATGAAGCTGCATTGAATTTGTGAAGTTCAGGGAGTGACTGGGGATTCTGGCCATAAACAGTGTCTTTAACTTGACCCCAGAGGAAGGAGTCATTTGGAGTGTGATCAAGGGATGGGGGCATGGTATTGGATCTCCTCAGTAATCACCACATGTTGATTCAAGAAGTCATACAGAACCTGACTGCAGTCTTCTGGCCTTGTGTAAGGGACAGATTTGAATCCATCTACTTAGACTCATTCACAGCCATATCAGAGGGGTGTTAGATTAGGTGATTACACGCAGAAAGTTAAGGTCATTCTATATTGCCTGCTACCATCCAAACAGACCTGATTTTTAATAGACTACTCATTTGGAATTATGGCACTCTCTGAGACAGGAAACCACAGCAATGTCCATAGTCAAGTATATGAAATAGAATAACAGCTCCACTGAAATGTGTTTGTGCAAGGGTATTGACAGTCCCTGGTATTTTGAAACTACCTACTGTTAATAGCAAGAAAGATATGATAGTGTCCTTGGAGTCCCACATCATCTGTTATGGAGAAGATGGAATGAAAATTGAATTGTTGGAAAAAATTAAATTAAATTAAAGACACTATTTACAGTATTTTGGCACAATACAGACATGTAATTTTATTCCTGCCTCCCTACCATCTGAAGCCTAACCCAGTAAAAATGAATTTTGATATTTAGAGAAACTGGATGGCTGCAAAGAATGTGACTTTAAAGGTACAGGATGTGAAAAAACTGGCCAAAGACAAATTTTTGTTAATGACAATTGAAGAATGGGGGTCAGTGTGCAGGTGTGTTAAAGGAATATTATATAAGGAATGAGCATGTGGTGGACAGTATTCTCATGAACTTTTTCATAAAAATCAGTCATCTGATTTGGATTTGGACACAAACTGAGAGGGTGAAGTTGAATGTTTGATAGTTCTGTTATCACTGGATTCTGACTGAAGAAATACTGTATCAAGGTAGAAACACAGATACATGAACAGTGTCCTCTGCTAAAAGAAACCAAGGACACTATTATTGCTGCACATCAGACGTTAACCTCAGGTGATGCATGTTCCAGTTGTACATTACATGAGGATGTTCTGTGCCCCAAACAAGTCACATTTTTCATGTTACTGCTACTACTGATGCTGTCTGATATGCCTGCTCATGAATGCAGAGAACACGGCTTGTTGTGCACAGTGATGTGCAGAAATATTTTCGTCTGTTTTTGGACATCATGCACGGTACCCATACCTCACATGATAATCGCCATGATTTCACTGGATTTCATTCCAACACTTCTGTGCAATACTGACACTAAACACTTGTAGCCAGCCTGTCAATACCCTTACAGTTTATCAGAATTTATATTCTTGAACTGAACTGCAAGTACCAGGGCAGAATGCTCTGTGATGTTGGAGATCTTTTGTTGAACAGCCTCTTAAACTCACATTACACATACACGACACTGCAGTAACATACGAGTAACAGTAAAATTACATATATACGTTTCCACACATAACATATTCAAAACTTATTTTCCATCCCTCCCTTTTTGGGTTTCAAAAGTTAGGAGGAAGGGGAGCAATTACTGGAGTGAATACTGTTTTATATTTGTGTTTGGCTTTTAATTTTCAGGGTATAATTCATCGAGACATAAAATCTGATAATGTCCTTCTTGGTATGGATGGAACTGTGAAAGTTACTGACTTCGGTTTTTGTGCCAATATTGTAGGAGATGAGAAAAGACAGACGATGGTAGGAACTCCATACTGGATGGCACCAGAGGTTTGTGTATTTACTATTCTTCTGTTTTCCTCTTGGTTCCAACAAACTGAAATAATTTTGCGCATATGCCAACCTTATTAATGAAAATTAAAGATTTCTAAATGTTGGAAATGATAAACATAATACAGTGGTTATCACTCCTGATTGGTATGGAATATGGAGATACAAAATTTCAGTGCCAGCCACAGGGACACAGTCATACTGATGCCTTACATTCCGTCCCAAATACCTCTGGGCAAATGGAGGAATAGTGCCTTAAAGTAGGCCACAAGTGCTTCCACATTATTTCTAAACTTTAAAATTACGTCCACTTTTGTTTTAGGTTGTTACACGGAAGCAGTATGGAAAGAAAGTGGATATTTGGTCACTGGGAATTATGGCAATTGAAATGATTGAAGGTGAACCTCCATATTTGAAAGAAACACCTCTGCGAGCCTTGTACCTTATTGCAGCCATTGGGCGACCAAAAATACCACGATGGAAGTCCCTTTCTCCTGAATTTCAAGTAAGTGCAAATATAAAGATAGTAAAATGTTATATAGTGTATTTTTTCACTTCCTGCATTGCAGAGGCTAAATAAATAGGAGTAGAAGTGATTTTATAAGAGCAGGAGACTAAATGCTAGATTATAAAATCAACATGTTCTTAGGGTAGTTTGACAAAGAAGATAAATAAAAAGGGCCAAGAATTGAGATCTTTCACAACTTACAGTAAGTTTAAAAGAACAAATACGTGGTTGGACAATAAAGTTCACGAACTCTTGTAGTAATTGCTGAATATCACTGTAAATTTAGTTTTTTTTGCATATTATAATTATGGATGTCCATTTTTTTGCCATGAAGTCTTTATATTTTTTAATGAAACATATCACGCCAAGTATGTATAGCACAGCCAATGTTAAAAGATTATAAGCTTTAAAAATTTGTCGGCACGAGGTTCGATTATTAACCCCACTGATAATTTGAAGGACTTTTTTTTTCAGTTTAAAGAGTTTGTCACTTTCGTTATCCCCTCCCCCATAATATAATACTGTATCGCAGACAAGACTCAAATAGTATGTGCCATGAAAGAAAAGAAAAGGAAGAAGTTTAATAGACTACATAGTATTATATCCCAAAAGACAGAACTCTTATAACCACCACTGTTGAGAACCTCAAATTCTACAAGCATTGAGGAAGATGAAGAAGGTCCAGTAATCATAGAAGAATGGCAGAGATATTTAAACAACTAATGAATAGAAAAGCTCCTAGTCCTAACGAATTAAATCTAGACTTATTCAAATACAAAACAATATTGGTGGAACAGATGCTTTTTTATTATTTTCAAACATGAAGAAATTGAGTACCAAGACCATAGCATGAAGCTTCTTTGATATCTATTGTATTTTCAGAAAAGGAGGTAAGAATAGAATCAGAACTAAATATTGAATATGAAATTTATAATAGTAAATAAATAAAAGACTTCAAAGTAACTCAGGTTCTCTAATGTGAGATGAAGAAAACGGGTTTCAACCAGACTGATTGTACATCGATAAGATATACAGGGTGATTCACAAAGTTTTACCCTGGCTTATGGTACATATTCCTGGGGTTATTTCCTGCAAAGTTTCCTTATAAACTTGTGGTCAATTTTCAATAGTTACAGAGTAACAATGGATTTTCGAAACACATCATTGTGAATGCAGCGCTGGATGAAGGACATTATGTACCAGGTAAAGGTACAAACACGTGAAGCATTGCTTGAATGTATTCTGGACGCGGCGATGACAATAAGGAACAAACGTGTGGAACTGCAAAATGCTACGAGCGTGGTTCATACGTGTGCGATGCGTTATGTTGACGTGCAGGGAGACATTTTTGAAAATCTTATGTAAATCCAGTCGTCTTCTAAAGCACTACAGTTTAAAGGAAACAGATTGATAGAAGGGTGTGATATGCAACCATTGGTATGTTTACAGAATGGGATGCTGAAAATAATGTAATTTTGTAACATAAATAATGTTATATTTTAGTGTTGCACTGACTCATGCCCATGATTTTTTATGCTGTCTTACAGTGCACACACCTTTTCACCTTACTCTTCTCTTTTGCACTACATGTTTCAGCACTAATGTGCCATCTTCAGGTGCGTTTTCTCTATGCACGTCTAACTACNTCAACAAAAGGCACAATACACATATGAATGTAGGAAGAGTGCTCCCACAGAGGAGGATTGGCGTGATTCGCGTATTGAGATACGACGTAAGGATGACGAATCCTAAAAAGTTTTAATATTTAAAATCTATTATTATTCATGAAGAATATATATTTTAGTCATTTTGGTATGAAGACATCAGGGCATGCAATGCAGTAGTTAGAAGTGCATAGAGAAAATGCACCTGAAGATGGCACATTAGTGTTGAAACATGCAGTGCAAAAGAGTAAGGTGAAAAGGTGTGTGCACTGTAAGACAGTTAGCATAAAAAATCACGGACTTGTAACATAAAATCGATGAAAAATGTTGCACAGTGCAAAATTAAGAAATTGAAAAAAAAAATGGTTTCAGAATGCTTCTTTCCTAAAACATTAATGATTTAAAAAGTGTTTGTATTGTATTTCTAATTTGTTTTGACTGAAATTCGAAGAAAAAAAGTTTTTTTTTAGCCAGTTTTCAAATTACTGTATCTCTTTAATTATGAGTTGGATACCATTAGTATATTAAAATTTTTTGTTCCAAATTACCTCAGGAATGTCCTCCCTAAGTGGGGGTAAAACTTCATGAATCACCCTGTATACATTAAAACACTAAAGGAAGAAGAGGACAAAACTTAGAAAACCATTCAGCCTTTTCAGATTATGAGAGGCATTTGACTCAGTGGAAACTACAACAAATTTTAGTTGTCATAAAAACACTGGCCACTGGAAAGATGAGTGACTATACAAGTAATGTTGAGGACAGAGTTGTCAGACAAGACAAAACAGCTGTCACATGTGATAATGAATTAAGAAAACTGTGCCTAAGGCACAGATTACATATGGAGTTTATAATCTGGTGTCATATTAAGGGATGGATACAAGTTTTCTGGAAAAGAAGACCAAAAGTACTGTTGAAAATGTAAGAAATGGTTGTGTTGAATGCATTTAAAGGTCATTTAACATTGGAGGTCAGATCTATGAGTCATGCAGTGAACCCTTCCCTTGTGGTCATACCTGGAAAGAACTATACATTCTAGTGAATAAACTTTTTAATGATCATTTGAAGCAGTTGTATTCCATATGGTCCCTGACAGGGGCAATAAAGAGGCCAAGTGTGGAACTGCTGTGCCAGAGAATAACACCATGGTAGTGGGTTTCTTCAGAAGGTCTAAAAGTTCGTGATGATAGCATATTAATAGAATGATGAATTTTATGGATATTTTCCATTGTACTTTTCATTTGAGGAGATGTTTTGAAGACTGGTTTTTACTTGAGGCTGGAGACAGAGTCAAGCCTCCAAAATGTTGTCTCAGATGAAAATATTGATGATGGATAATGTCCAGAAAGTTGATCACTCTCTCCAGAAGTGACAGTCAAAGGTTTAGAAAGTTACTGTGCATTTGATGAACTGGATGTAATGGAAGATGTTTGGAATAATGGCAGTGAATATGAGATAAGATGGGAAATGTGAAGACACTGAAGCTGACATAGATGATGGATTGGTGAAGAAAGCAAGACTGATGAAGCTGCTGCATAGAAGCTAGTCATATGGAGGACAGTTTACTCACTAAATTTCATGTATGAGTATAACATGCTTTCTAATATTCATTTTCTTTTACATGCTTGTGATAAGAGTATGAAATTACTTCATAAAGTTACGTTTTATGTGTAGACATGTTTCCTAATGCAGGGTCATCTGATGTTTGTAATTGTTTTCCATTTTCCATTCTGGTAAATATGGCAGCATACTGAAAGAGCAGCTACTGTTATAAATTGTTACAGTGAAGAAAACTGATCTACTAGAAAAAATTGTAGTTTTCTTCCCTATTCTTAAATGTTTCCAAATTTCCATCTGACTGAAAATGACATTCTTTCACATGCCTATTGTGTACAATTTTCAGTTACCAAAGTCAATTTATTCTTCATAGCATTTTTTGGATCGCTGTCTACAAGTGGATGTGGACAAGAGGGCTTCTGCAGATGAGCTTCTGAACCATCCTTTTCTGAAGAACTGTATGGAACTTGGCTCACTGACACCACTGATACGGGCTGCTCAGAAGATTCTTCGGAAGGCTTTGTAACATTTGAAAATGGCATCACATTAGAATGTAGATATAGGGGAGCAAATGGTAGCTATTGCTCTCCCAACCTCTGAATGGAGAAAATATGTGGAAATGAGCAGTTTCATGTTAAGTTATGGCTAGCTCAGCATCTCCAGCATGCAGGATAAAAGTAAGCTGCATTATTAATTATGAGTAATTCTACTACATTTGGACTCAGCATATTACAGATACCTGAAAAATACCTGCCCTCTAGCCTCTTGTCACAGCTTACTAAATCTCTACATACAAGACCTTAATTCTGTAAATATATGGTCTTGAATATACTGCTGTATAACAGATGAGTTCAGTTTTAAAAGTCTAGAAAGATTTATGGGATTATAATTTTGCATCCATAGAACTCAAAAAGGACCTGAAACTTGACCCTCAACCCTGAACTTTAAATCTGAAAGAGGCTACTGAGCAAGTTGTTTCAGGAACATAAAAAGTCATGGGATTTGTAAGACAGTTTGAATTGGACTTAACACTGATGCCTAGTATTCATAAGTTACATCCTGAAAGACAACTTTGCCAGTTTATAGCTAATTTGATATATGAAATCAACCCAACAACATAGGCACCTAGCCTTAAAATATTACATAATCAAACTAGAGTACATGTTGCCATACTTTTTAGTATTAGAATAGGAAATGAATGGTTGGTGCTGTTATCTTTAGTGTAGTCCAGCTCTTTGCTCAATCAGTGGAGTAGCATTGCTAACATACTCTTCTATACCAAAGACAAGAGGGTAACTAGTTTAATTAGGGTTACTGCTACTGATATAAATGGAACTCAAGTGCTTCCTGATCTCGTTTAAATTTAGAAAAGTTTTTTGATGTCACATGAAATTTATGTCCTTGAAAAATGCCATTTATAGGTTACAGTTACTCTTCTATCCAAACTTAATGTTGCTAAAAAAATTAATGTATTCTTACCTGCAGATTTGTCTCTGCAGGGGAAGAACTGTATTACCAAAAATGTTTTATTTTCTCAGAAGGAGAGAAAAGGGATGCAGAATATTGAAATATGATATGCAATCAGTTTTAGTGCAGGATATACACATAACTCCCGATACCATGCTTTAATTGTGACATGTTACTGTGCCACGTATGTGGTTCAGTGCAAGAAAAAAAGTTAGCGTTCCACATTCAGATTATTATTCAGTTCTGTACATTGTCTAAGGCAGCATTCATGATGATACCATATAGTGGGGGGGCGTACTTATTTTAGCATTTGCTTCTGTGCAAGTCAGTTTTCCACGTTCTTACAAATTTTAGTCACACTACATTATTGTTTCTCAAATGTGGAAGTACTTATATGAAAAGAGAGACCAGTCTTTCTTTACCTTGTTAAATGATAGTTTTATGTCCCACATCAAATAGAACAGTTTGGAAGATAAAAATTGTTCTCTTGACAGATTCCTCTACCTAAATTCCAAGTCTGTTAGAGACAAAATTGAAGGCTATTTTTAGCAGTTGTGTTATTTCAGTTACAGGGCACTAAAAACATAAAACTTCTGTAGATGCAGAATATACCGTATTTACGCATGTATAGGCCGCAGCACAATTTTCAGACAGAAATTTTAGAAAAAATAATTTTCTTGGAATATTATTTCAGGAGTAGAAATTATTCCGAAATTTGGCAATGTTAATTTTTTTTAAATGAAGTGTGATTTCGAATATAAGCCGCACCCCAGTTTTCCTCTTGAATTTTTGGCAAAAAATGTGCGGCCTATACATGCGTAAATATGGTAAGTGTATTGAACACTTCATAATCAGTATAGGAAATTAAATGACCTGTGCAAACGTTTTGCTGATGTATGTGGTAAATGGATAAGTTTCTAATAAATCAGGCCCATGATAATCACAGAAGCTTCATCTGAAATTTAAATATTGTATATAATCCAGTTGTTAACTATCTGTTGTTTCAATCAAACATCACATATTTCTGTAATATTTAGTACTACATTTCTCAAGTTCATTCTTTTTCACATGTATTTAGTTTAAAGTTGACTACCACATCATGATATTTGGAAAATTCTGCATGAGCAAGACAGCTCAGCTTTCAGTGTATATCATTCACATTTCACTTGCTGGAAAACATCTTGCACAATTGGATTTAAGTTAACTAATTTTTAACTCAAAGTGATGTCATCTCTTAAAGCCTTAGGAATAATGGGGGATTTTATCTACATTTTCTTGAAATATTTTTTAAAGTGTAAACCTGCCATACATACCATGAGTGAAACAGGAAAATTTAGTATATCAAAAATGTTGTCACCGAGAATTTCTTCAGGATATGGGAAGATCATTTGCCTCAGCTAATATTTATTTCAGATCAAATGGGAGGGAAATAAATTATAAACATTAATAATGTTCATCAGGGATTGTAAGTACACAGATTTTGGGTTTCAGTCTCACTTTAGATTGACTTAATTCTAATTTACTAACCTAACCAGTGAATTTGAGGTTGGATTAAACTTGGCTCACAGGAATCTCATGAATGCCTACTCATAGCAATAAATTTATATATTTTTCCTGGAATTCTGCAAAAATTTACAATATAATGTAATTATGAATGTCTGCAATTAAAAGTAATATAATTTCCAGCACTACACCCATGTCATGAAAACTGAATACACCAGAAGCAAATGGCTTGGCTTTTGTGAAAAATATATGCTGTGTTTGTGATGACACTTCTTTGTAAGTCATACCACTGATGTAGCGGAAGAGTCTGATGTGTACTTTAATTTCTAGTACCACTTCAAAATCACCCTACATTTTCTTACTTGAGCCATCTTGAACAACATGACTGATGGCTGATTGACAATGTGCAATAATTTCTTTAATGTGTAGTTAGGTACATGCCAAATCAAACTCTGTCCATTGGTTAATTATTTCTTGTACTGTGAATACACTTGTAAGACTACTCTGTATTTTGGTAATGTATTGAGCTTGAGATCACTGCTGGAGGTTTAAAGTGTAACTCTGTCCATTAAGTAACCTTTGACAATATGGTGAAAAGTAAAATGTAACTATAAATTTTGAAGTTCCTATTGGGAAGTTTCAAAGTATTTTGGGAGTAAAGTTGCACTTCGTTAATGCCGACTGAAAACAGCAATCTTCCTTCTTTAAATGAATATGAAAATGTGTAAGTCAAGGGCATTCAAATGTGAAAACAAGATAACTTAAAGAATGGTGACCAGCACTCTCTGCATCGAATGCTTTGTATAGTGACCTGTTAATATTCCCAAATTGATTCGGAAAAACTAATATTTAAGTTGGTTAAGGCCCTACTGACTTGAAGAAACCTGGATGGCTTCATGTAACCAAAAGGTACCAACAGTGAACTACTTGTCCAATACATGTTCCTTGTTTTGTAATAGTAGTTAGACATCTATTTTTGAGGCTGTGTTGGAGAGCGAGCAGTGGCCTATCTTACAGTCTAATCAGTAAGACATTTGCACTAGATTGTGTTATGAAATGTTCTAGATGGTTAAATTTCAGTGCGAAGTACACTTGAATTAAATCACAGTAGATACTGGTATTCAGCATTTATTTGAGGAAGGTATTGTGTTGACAAACATATCTCGCACATTCCATAATCTGTGTTCAAGTTAGAGAATTTAAAGATTATAAGTGATGGTTAACATTTTAACAAAGATGTTATTATATGTGCTATATTTGAGAAAATTATTTTTATATAATGTGTAACTAGTTGTCCAGCTTCCAAGTTATGGAAGTTATATGAGACAAATTCCGTCTTAAGTGCAACAATTTAATTGTAGTTCTTTCTTCTTCCCTTCCTCCACACTACATGTTTCGGCCCTAAATGGCCATCATCAGGTGTGTATTCTTACGTAGCTGCTACACTGCCCGTAGTTTAAAATTTAAAATCACCAGTCTTTCCAATTGTATGTATGTATAAAATCTTTGCTAACCTACACGCGTCAATTTGATTTCTAAAATTGGCACTTTTTTAAAACTTCAATTCAAATTAAAATGTCTATAAATTTTGTTCTTTTTCTTTTTCCAAATTTTTAAAAATTAAAATTTTCTCGGGGTACACGCCCTATGTCTATAGTGCTGCAGCGGCCACTTCTTGTTTTATCGCTGTTCAGGTATTGTTCTGTGTAGGCTCTCTGTGTGTGTGTGTGTGTGTGTGTCGCTGCTTATCTTTAATACACACCTGATTATGGCCATTTTGGGCTGAAACATGTAGTGTAGAGGAAGGGAAGAAGAACTACAATTGTTCAATTGTTCAATTTAATTACGTTCCGTAAATCCAGATACAGGCAGACACCATAGGATATGGAACAAGTCAAATACAATATAAATACAATGATCTCTCTATAATAACAGTCTAGTTGAAAAAATGAATAAGATTATAAATTACATAAATATAAGTTGATTGTACTAATGCATCACAATTTGAGCCTGTTAACAGAAACAATGTCGATAAGTACATCGCTAATAAGTAATAAGATTATAAATTATGTAGATATAAGTTGATTATACTTGTGCATCACAATTTGAGCCTGTTATCAAAAACAATGTCAATGAGTACATCGTTAACGGTTAAAGAATGTGCAAGTAAAAGTAAGTAAGAGTAAGCGGCCTCCGTAGTCTAGAGGTANCAATGTGTGAGTGTAACAGGATGCTTAAATATAATATTATGGAAGTTAATAATGCTGCAAAATACTGCATATGCATTTACATATGTTATATCCTGAATGCCTTAGTAGAAGACATGCAGTGTGATTCCTTTACAAGAAAACATCCTAGTTGGAAGTGTAAAATTCTAAAGTCTATTTTAAAACTCTTGGAGGTTCCGATTACCTAACCCCACCTCTTATTTTTGTAATTTTTCAGCCTGCACAATATGTTACCTCTTAAATACTTATGATATTTTGGTATATATATTTTTGAGAGTATGATATTTGAAGTTCTCGATGTGAATATTAAGATTACAGTCATCTGAGATGTAACACCATGTAGTCTGGTATATCGTAGCCAACGTGTCAGAGGAACCTGCTGGTTCCATCTACATGGTTCTCCTGCTATTCACTGAAGATGGAAGCAGATAGTTCCTCCAAAATGTTGGTAACCATCTGCTGAAATGGTATCACATTCTAGAAGACATAATGTTGAGTATACAGAATCATAAGATTGCATCAGTGAGAATTAATTGTATAAAGTATGTGGAATTAGTAATTATATACATTTTTCTAAAACTTCAGTATTTATTTTTCTGTGTTTAAATTATTAATGTGAACTAGGTTGAAAAAAGTAAATATTACTAGTGATTATGTTGGTATAAATTACACTTTTATTCACATGATTATTTCTAACTTGTAAAGAAAGATGTTTGATGAACAACCTGGTTGCCACAATTGTGTTCATAAAGAAACTTGATATGCAGTCACTCTTTCATCAAGAGACTATAAACTGTTTAAGGATAATGATTAATGAAAATCTTATGAAACAAAATATTCACTCTATTGATGTACTGTTATCAAATATATAGGAAGACTACAAGAACAAAGTATACTGCTTCATTTCAGAGTTTCTGAACATTTTCCTCAATTTCCTGTTGAAGATACTTAAGGTCTCCTACTCAATTTTCTACCATTAATATTTACCTTCACTTACTTCACTTTATTTATGTATTACCATAGTGTTTAATGTGAACTTACTGATTTATTGCCTTGATCATATTATAAATAGCCTTTCCAATATAAACTATCTGCAAAAGTAAGAAATAAATAATATATAAAACATATATATATATCTATGTATATGGTTAAGGTTAGCCATTGCCACAACAAATGAATTTATAATCAATCAGTATTTTCCAGATTGAATGTTTTATTTCCTGCTACACGTTTCAGTCCTCCTGGGACAATCATCGGGTAGTGATATATGAATATGTCTGGGGCCATTAAACTATATGGGTCCATATTTGGTGCAACATGTCATACTCTGTAACAGTGTTCCACAACCTTTTTCTACTCGCGGCACACCATGAAGTATCCATGACTCAACATGGCACACCAAAATGTTATTCCCCTCAAAAACGCATGATATCAGACAATATAAACGTAATGTGATCAACTTATTACTATAATATTGTTATATTATTATCATTAAACAGAAATTGACTCGTGCATTTATTAACAATTAATGAACTTCAATTCACTGTAGAGTGTAGAAAATACACTTCTATTACTATTAAAGTAAATACAGTAATTCTACTCAACCTTCAATGTGATACTTGCGCCTGCGTAGCTGCACACAGGCGACTGATCCATGGTGGAATCATTGACAACGCAAGTCTCATTTCTTCATTGATGGATTTGAGCCACTCCCTCTTTGATGTCTTAATTTCAGTTAACGTCGAGAAGCCCAGTTCACACAAATATGCAGTTGAAAATGGCAATAACACATTAACTGCCATCTCAGAAATAGCCGGGTATCCAGTCCTTATTGTCAACCAAAACATATCCAAAGGCACTTTGAGAAGTTTTAGTTTCAATGTTCTGTCTGCTTTTAAATCTGCGAGTTATTCTTGTATATTAATCGGATGATGTTCTGAATTCACAACAAATGGATCACGAACCCAGTCAAAATCTTGTACACTCTCTCCAAAATACTTATTGAATTTCTGTATGTTCTTTAATTGTGTCCATCACCACTTTATTGCCGTCAGCAAGTGGCCATACAGTTGGGGACATCTCAAACGACCCATCTGTAATTCTCTAACTAGCAACCAAAATTTGCGAACTACTTCAGAGCACAGCTGTGATAGAACTGAAACAATTGTAAAACGCGGGATTTCTACTCTTCAAATGGAAGAAGTGACACTATACCGTCTTATTTTTTAAATATTTATAATTTTAAATGAAGTCCAACAATTGGTGGGCGCATCGTTACAGGAAGAAAGTTATAAAGTTGAAGAAGCTTTAACTTCTAACAAACGGGCAAATACCAAAACAGTGTAAAGACAGGAAAACCCATGCTAATCTCTGCAGTTTTAGGGAAAAGCACGTATACAGAACATGCGGCAAGCATATCAAAGAAGCTGCGTAGATGCGAGAAAAATAAAAATAAATCAATAATGAAGACTATGATATAACAACTGTGGGCTGCATGGCAAAATCATGAGCTAAAGATAGGTAACAACTGTTTTCAAAATGTGGCACAGTTCAGGTATTAGGAACAATGATAACAAATCGAAACCTGATTCAGGAGGAAATTAAGAGGAGATTGAACTTGGGTAATGCTTGCTACCATTTAGTCCAGAAGCTTTTGTCGTCTCATCTGCTGTCCAAAAACATAAAAATTAGAATATACAAAACTATAATTTTGCCTGTGGTTCTGTATGGGTGTGAAACTTTGTCTCTGACATTAAGGGAGGAACACAGACTGAGGGTGTTTGATAAGAGGGTGCTCAGGAGAATATTTGGACCGAAGAGGGAGGAAGTGACAGGAGGTTGGAGAAAATTGCAAAATGAGGATCTTCTAACTTGTACTCTCCAAGTAGGTGGACTAGATTGATCTGGCTCAGGACAGGGACCAGTGGAAGGCACTTGTATGAACCTTTTGGTTCCATAAAATGCTGGGAAATTCTTGAGTAGCTGCAGGTTTTGCGGCTCCTCAAGAAGGGCTCAGCTCCATAAGGAGTAAGTAAGTATTAGGATAAATCCACAAAAACTTCAAATGGCACAAGAACACACAAATTATATTTAACCTCATATTAAACTTAACATAGTAAGAATAAGAAGAATTTACTTTATTATGCCTTGTCAGGATAACTAGTGCCCTGGCTGAGATTCACACTGAGCACCTCCCAACAAATATTAAAGCATTACTGCTACATCACCCTTCCTGGCAGCAGTGAAAATGCCTGTATTGAATTAAAAAGAACAATATTAACAAAAAGATACTATTTCTGGACAGACTGTATTGTTCCTATATTATGTGCACACAGGGAAGCAAATATTATGTCAATAAGCATCAAGTTAAACTCTTAATATCAAAGTGCTCCTTCATCCACTGGTGACTTTAGCTTGGTACATGATGTTTAGCTGATTTCAAATTTTATCCAAATTCAAATGACTTGTTTCTTCAAACACAAATCCCCTATTTATTAGTTCTTTTAAAACCGCTGCAATATTATGACAGTCATCTGAAAAAGAAAATGAAGATGTCTCTTAAAATATATTGCCTCTGCATGGTGTAAAGATTATTTGACAATGCCCCACTGTTTTAACACATTTCCTCTTTATGCATGCTAAGACAAGCTACATACAACTGATTTCCCAATGACTGAAACAGATATTTTATGTTTATACTGTCACACGTAGGGGTATGACTTATAGACAGATTTTTGATTGGATGATTGGATTTATTGCACCTTTTACATTCACACAGCTTGGGACTACAGGCAATACATTGCTATTGCTATTCTACACACTTTCATTTCACCACTGCACGCACACTAGGATTCTCAGTCTTCACTAGTCGTACCCAGGCAACGGATTTATCACGGTCTCACTGTTAACTTTAAATCACAAGTAAAACCTTGTCACAGTGTAACTCCTTTCTTGCCATTTCTTCTTGATTACCTTTGACCGCCATCTCCAGAACTCAACCTAATTCCCTTCTGACTACTATTCTGTATTCCACTGTACTTCTGGCTGTGCTCTCTCTTACAACTCCTTGACACGGACCCCACAGAAAACACCATCTTCCATTGTTAAAGACTGTGTTTACAGCTCTGTTGCCTAGCAGTAGACGTCCTATTGTTCTGAGCATTTGCTTCTGTGGGATTGTGTTTACCAACATGTTGCCTAGCAAGGGGGATACACATCACAATATTATGTTGGACAGTGTTCACTGTCTGAGGTATACTAACACAGTTTGGCCTGAACAAACCAGAACTCCATTTTACCATGATGGAAACAACACCTGATGGAATGTAACTGCATTATACTGCCACAAGAACCTTATCTAAAACACTCATGGAACAACCTCTTTGAGAAGCTAAGAGCCATTCACTTAGTCAAGAGGTTACTCACATTTTACATAACCAGAATGTTAACCACTGTGTTGGCAAGAGCTTACTATTGGTCTCTGTCCTGAACCAGATGAATCCAGTTCACATCATTTTAATATCATCCTCCCATCTATGCTTAGGTCTCCCAAGTGGTCTATTCCCTACAGGATTTCTGACTAACACTATATGTGGATTTGTCATCTTTCTCATGCATGCTACCTGCCCTCACATGAAAACACAAATTTTATTTATATGGTAAAGGTATATCTAGAGTTGTCCCTGTGCTTAATTAAGCACCATGCCATTAAGATGTATGGAGAGTTGAGGTATAGCTCCACTATTTTTGACCTTGGCACTAGATGTAGGGGAGTGGTCAGTTTCACACCCCAAGTTTAACAAAGCAGTATCTTCCGTCAGTTCCAGACTCACGTTTAATAAACATGAAATAATTTTGTGCATTTGGATAATCCAACAATGTTTGTTAATCTATAGCAGGGGTCTCCAAACTTTTTGAAACACGGGCCACATTAGGTAATTCAGCACTTTCAACGGGCCGGATAAAATGAGAAATTAATAACTCTAGGTATATGAATTTTACTGAAAGCACAGAATTTCATAAACTAAATACAAAGTATGTGAGAATAAATTATCATATATTAATGACCACAGACAGTAGCAGCAAATGCTCATATTTTCATCACAAATTATAATAAAACAATTAACGTGAATGATGGAACGCTTTTTGCATTCTTAAAATCTGATTAAATTGAGGTTCAAATTTTGAAACGCTAATCACAAGTACCGACTTTAAATGTTCATCGGATAAATTGGCCCTGTATTTCGACTTGATGTACTTCATCTGGGAAAAAGTTTGTTCACACAGATATGTCGTCCCTAAAATGGAGATAAATTTACAAGCAATAAATTTATAAAATTTGATCAAATTTCTTTCCTTGTATTTGTCTTTAATATATAATTTTCCTGAAATTCAATAATTTCCATTTGAATTTGACTTGGGACATCTGCAGCATCACAGTCAAATGGATTTTGAAACAATCTAATTTCCTGAGCACTGGCATCCAAATCAGCAAATCGCTTCCAAAATTGTTCTTTCAAATCTGAAATGACTAAATCTGCAAACGAGGAAGGTTTTATGCAACTCTGCACAGTATAGCATATGAACAAAGTTACAATTTTTCACTTGGCTTCCCAGAAGTATCAACTTTCTCTGAATGCCTTGATAAGTTCAAATAAATCACAGACTAAGTTATTTTCACCCTGCAACTTTAAATTCAAATTGTTCATATGGTTCACCAAATCAGCAAAAAATTCTAATTTCCAAAGCCACTCGGTATCTGATAAAAGTGGTTTGTGATGATTTTTCTCGGTAAGAAATACATCAATTTCATTCCTGAGCTGAAAGAAGCGTGAAAGAACCTTTCCACAGCTAAGTCATCGAACTGCAGTATAACATGTCAGGTCAGTAAGCTTGGAATCACATTCCTCGAGAAAAGACCGAAACTGGCGATGGTTAAGTGCATGACAGCGAATGAAATTAACGATAGAAACAACAGGTTTTAAAAGAGAGCTCATATCAACGTGTTTTGCACAGAGTGCTTGTTGGTAGATAACACAGTGAAGAAACATTGGCTTTGATATTCCTGCATCCTCACAAGCTTTTGTGATTTGGCCAACCAAACATATTTTTATGCCAGACAAGTTTTTTCTCCATCAACTGTAACGCACTGCAGACGGTTCCAGTCCAAATTATATTCTCTTAGTGTTTTTTGTATTTCTTTGAAGATATCATCTCCTGTTGTAGTGCCATGCATGCTGTGAAGTGACGCTAATTCCTGTGTGACATTAAGTTCATCGACGCCACGAAAAAATACTAATAGTTGAGAGGTATTACAAACATCAGTTGAAATCCATGAACAAGTATTTATTTTTACCAGTACTCATTGGAAAATTAGTTCAACTGGTGCATTTCTGCACAATTCTTTTGTGGGCCGTAGTTTGGAAACCCTTGATCTATAGCCTTCTGTGATCACATTATCCAGTGCAGTTGTTAATTCACCCTGCCACATCACAAACCTCTCCAAAGGAACAATTCATTTCCTAATGTCAGTCATGGGGGCATTCCTATTTCCTGCAAATGATAATTCATTAACTTAGGAAACATAATCAAAACTACTTCTCTTCCAAGCTTGCTATTACAAATTAAAGAAATTCCACATATAGAGGAAAGTGCTATATCCAAAAAGTCAAAATAACAGTATCTTCAATTTTGTGACCACTAATGCAATTCATTTCTGGTATGCACACTTCATCCAATGAATGATAACCTGATTCAGATGCTGTAAGTAACTTTCAACATTAGGTAGTAAATACAAATTTCAAACCAGCTTCAGCTGAGAGCCTCTGTGCTCTGCATTCATCAAATAATAGAATGTTCTCGTCCATACATGATATTCTTCTTTCCATGCACGGCAGCCACTGGCAAATTATCTCTGCAGTAACCACTAACCGATACATTTTGGCTAGTTTTATATTCACATAGGTAATTTCTTGTCTTATTCTTGCAACATTAATTTTTATATTTCCCCATGACAAGTGCCTTTATAAACTTTACTCCCACAATAAAACAGCAGTCAGCCCACCTTTGTGTTTGTTTCCTCAAAGGTGTATTTCCCCCATTAACTGTCCATGTTCTAATTGGTTTGGCACTGTAAAGTGATCCAGTTTTGCCAGTTCTGAGTATGGTCTGTGGTGTGTGTTGTTCTGTTACTGGCAACACATTTTTGTGCCAGTTTTCAGCACATTTTATGTGCACAGAAGAACATTCACAATTGTCAGTAACACTGTCATATCACTCCATAAACCTTTGCAGTAAGCCATATGAACATTTAAATTCAATTCCCATATTCAGTGCACTGTCACCAACTTCTTCCTGGAATGCTGAGCCTTCGACAGTAATATTAATGGCATACTAAAATAATTAATCTTCTGAATCTGAATGCTTGGTTCATAAATTCACATGCTAGAAATTTCTGCACTTTCTGTAACTTGTTTTTCAATTGCATCCAATTTTGTACGTGTACTGACAGTGTTGACTGTGGAATTCTATACACTTCAGCAATTTCTGACTTGTTTTTTTTCTTTATGTGAACTTTCTCAATTGTCACTAAGTTTCCTACTAACATTTTCCATTACAGTGCCAAAAGCACTAATATTGTTCCAGCTCTATATGCTTGGCTACAAACCACAAGAAAAAACAACACAGTTCAGGCTATAGGTTACACTATAACTTTCTATCGCAAACATGCAAATAAATTCGTTCCACTCACTTGTGTGCTGAGACTCTTCCAAGGTATTTTATAGTACTAATTAACTTGTCACTCCTACAATGTGAGTCAGTTTTCCAGACTTTCAGGAAAGTCACAGGGAGAGCAATATTAAAAAAAATAGCCAAATGCTGTTTACTACTGATTCATAATATAAATTATTCAGATTTTTAATATCAGTATGAGTCAGTGCTCCAAATTCAAATTTAATCAGATTTTGAATTATTTACCTGAAAAATAGGGGCAAGCAGGAGCATAGGTGGTTGAGGCACTATGCTACAAGTTGGAAGGTCACGGAATTGAATCCCGATGAGGTGAATTTTTCAATTTACCTAATCCTTCCAGCTGCACTATGGCCCTGGCGTCAAGTCAGCCTCTAACAGAAATGAGTACCAGGAATATTCTTGGGAGTAAAGGGCAGTCAGCACATATGACTGACAACCTTACCTCCATCTATAAAACAGTGTGTTTAGAAAATATGGGAACCTCAACATCTCACAACTCTAAGGGCCTCACAGCCTGTTACAGGGATACCTTTACTTACTTTTTTACATTAAAAATAACATAAAGCAGTTCTTGGGTGTGTCTGACAAGTACTTCCAAGGGTGTACTACTTTACATTACAAGGAACTTAGTCCATCTAATATGTTGTCAGGAGGGTCAACAGCAGATATTAAAATGTGCTGAACACGTAGCTCAAATAGAAAAAAAAATCAAGAAATGCATATACATGCTTTGGTGGGGAAATGAGTTATAAAAGGAAGACAGGGAAAACAGTAGCATAATAATAATAAGCATTTAAGTGAAACTGGTTGTGGGGCTGTGGTTGTACTGAACTGCCTCAGGACTATGTTCTGTGACAGGCTTCAGCGCTAATGGTGCTGAACCTTTAAGTTTATTATCAGACTGACTGATAGTGATTCTTGGATTGTGATAACTTTTTTTTTTCAGCTCTACTGGTTATATAACACTGAATGGATGGCTGTCAATGACAAATTGTGAAGGCTGTTACAGAAAGTGGTCATGGCCTATTTTAACACTTTGCGGACCGGTGGCATATTTTTATGCCCAGCGCTTTTAAACGTGGCAGACCGGTGGCATATTATTATGACTTTAGGACATGTTATGTTGAAACACACTATACCTTGCACTGGCGCCAGGCAGACGCATGATTGGTGCGTGATAGACCTCTTGAATGTTTGCTTCGTAGTCAGTAACATGATGCCGCTGTTTATGACCCAACTGTTTTCCTTTCTCACTCCAAAAGAAAACGCCTTTGTTCATCTTCCAGCTGCATGCACCAGGCAGGAAGTTACTAGTGCAAAATGGATCAAGGTTGGAAGAGGTTGAGGTCCAAGCGTTTTCTCGGAGAACAAGAAATATCTGACTTGTTCTCCGATGAGCTATCTGACGTCCCTTGTGAGTCTGCTAATGATAGCGGCTCACAATCTGATAGTGAGTGTGGCAGGGGTGAACAAAAAATTGTGGCCACAGACAGTGAAAGTGAAAGTAGCTCCGACAAAAGTGTGAGTAGCAACATTGCGGGGACAGCCACATGGGGTAAAGTAGACAAAACGCCTGCTTTGGGACAGTTTACCGGAAATCCAGGGGTGAAGCAAAGTCCATCCGACCCAACGCAAGTGTCTGAAGTAGCAAAATTGTTTTTGGAGATAGTTTCTTTGACATGCTATGTCAGGACTGGGCGACTCTCGGGTAATATGCGGGAACATACCCTCGTGAAAATTGTGAAGAGTGAATATGCCAAGGGGAAGCAGCCTTCTAGGCGATGCTGTGTTTGCGCAGTACACAACAAAAGGAGTATGACTGTCTACATGTGCAAGTTCTGTGTAATGCCACTTCGCAAAGGGGAATGTTTCCAGAAATATCACACTCTCAAGCATTTCTAGGAGCATTGGTAAGTGTTCTCCAAAAATTTTAGTTCATAAAATTAATTAGGAGACTTTATATTAATTTTTAAAGTGAACAGTGCACAAGTTAGGGTAGTAGGTTTAAAAATGCCGGTCCCCAGGGTGATTTAAATATTTAAATTGTCGGTCCGCAAAGTGTTAAGGACTATTCTGACTGACTGCAGTGACTGGGGAAAACAAAACTTCAGTTATGACAGCAGGCCTCCAAACTAAGACTTGAACTCTTACCTCCTAAATATAAAACAGAGGTCATAACCACTCAACCAGATCTGGTAATGGTGGTGTCATAGTAATGTTAGTAAAATATTGTCACGTGTTGGGTGTTTGTCACACGACAAAGATCTTCTCGCCAGTTTGGATCTAGCGAATTTATTCCACACTTGCTCTTACACTTACACAATTTCACAATTACTGTCATCTGCAGGCCTGCAAATTAGAATAATATTTCTGTTCATAAGCAGGGTTAACCTATACCCATAGTATCACTTTCATGGCTACGATTCCTTACCTATGCCACTATGCAGTCTTCCCTGATGAGGTAATTGTAATTTTGTTAGCATATCAATTATTCCCCTTGGAAAGTAACCTGTTGCAGCAGAAAATGCCTGCAAAGAAAGAGAACATTTTACCTCTTACACAGTCATTCACTCTTCCAGTACTATTTGTTTGAGTAGGTAGTTTAATCTACAGCTGCATTCTCCTGTTTCAAATATTTAATCTGAATGCAGTTCTTTTAAAAACTTAGATCTATTATGATTTTCAGTATCCCTTTGCCACATGTTTGTAACTAGACATGGGGTTTGGATTGGTAACTGGATGTATTGAACATTTAATAAATCATACTACAAGCAGTTATAATGCTATCGCTAATTCATGCACTCAACTTCTCACTACAGCACTCACCAAGCATTCTCAGTTTGTCTTCACTAGCCGCTGCTAGGTTATGCCTACCAACACTGTAGATTCCTCAGCTTCCATATTAAAGGCCCCTATCCTCAATGGATGGCAACTCCCTCACAACTAACTATTTCAGTTGGTTGGTTGGTAAAATTGCTGCTGGCCTTCGCTAGAACAGTCATTCCTGGTTTCAGTCTCCATGAGATCCTCAACCAAGATTTCTGTTCCCTTCTAGACATATACATTTTTAGAAGTGGGGCTTCCTCTTTGACGGATGAGGGGTGGCTCTTTCTATGTAGGAGCTACATTGGTGCATTGTAGTTTCAGCATGAGTATATTCATGCTGTCACGGCATCAAGGTCACTATAGACTCTGTGCACCCTTTGTCATTGCACTATACTAAGTAACATTTACACAAGATATACAGAGGTTTCCTGTCCATGCAGGCTTGTGCAGCAGGTTATGCCTTTACTTATTTAATTATTCTGAAACTATGGTTAGTCAGCTGAACAGTCATAGTCCTTACCACTGCGAAGTTGAAGCCTCTTATACTTCCTATTAATGGCTTCTCCTTGTCCAATACCACATACATTTGGATTTACATAGTTTAGGATTACTTCTGCCAGCATCCTGCATAATTTAGTTATGTAGTCATACACGTACAAAATTTTGAAAATCACATGCAATTCGCAGACTGGTGTGCACCTGTCAAGGTTTCCTATATTGTGGAGTACTCTGTTCTGCAGGTGCTGCAATTTCAAGAGGTAAGCGTCTACCACATACTCTCAGCAAGAACAGGCATAAGTCATTATTGGCCTAATTAGAGCTTTATAAAGCATAAGTTTAATATGTGTACTTAAACGCCCACTTCTGAATAAAAAATAGGTCCTTATGTGTGTAAGCAAGGCCTTGGATACATTCCTTTTGATCTTGTCCATGGGTTCTCAGTACACATTCTTTGCACAGACCACATTAGAAACACTGCATCCAACAATGTTCCCAACTGTTACGGCAGTCGTTGCTTAACAATGGGCTGGGTATCATCACATGTTTACCCAGCCGTTGTCCAATAACTGTCTCTTTCCATCATCTTGTCATACCTTCAATATGCCAAAAAACCAATTAATACATTTCCATGTCCTTCCTATTCATTATTCTATAATTCTCTTATAATTCAATGCTATATGATTTTTGCTATTGAGTATAAGATAACTCCATGGTTTTAGTCAGCAAGCGAACTATATTGTAACATGTTTCGTTACTGAATACGCCGTAGAGATCGTTAACTGGTTTATTTAACAACCTACAAGTAACAGCTACAATTAATTATAACAATATTGCGGGGTTTCACAATTTATAACCCTATTCGCAAATCAAATCACGCTATTGTCAGTAGGCTACACGTTTCACAGTACGGGAGCTATATAAGTGTTACTGTATCACACACTCCCAATCAATTCTCAGTTATCACAAACTGTCACTGATTATCACACACTTTCACTTGTAACTCACCGCTGGCTAGATTCCAACTCTACTCGCAGGCTGCTGCCTTGAGAACTGTTGATAACACACTCTGACTCTTAGGCTTGCTCGGAACTGAACTCGGCGATGGCAACATTACAACTAACTCCGCAGGCAGCGCAGCTCTCTTATATAGGGGCTGTGTGGGCCTGTTACGTAGCAAAGCTGTTACCTCACGCCGTCTTACGTCACCGCACGTTACATTACCGTGCGGAGGGGGAGGGGAGCGCTGACTCATCCGCCACGTCACTGTGGCCTGAGTTGCCACGTTGCTGCTGGGTAGGGAGGGGTTCTCCGTTGCGCAACATGTCACAAAATCTACCGAGCGACCGCCGCTTGTCAGCGAAGTTGGTGCCAACTTTAGCGGATAGAGGGTGTCGCGTGGTCAGGGCAACGAATTCCTGCTGCTAAGAATAAATAAATAAAATATATGGCATCATTCCTATTCAGAATTCCATGAATTTGATGCTTCAAAATTTCTATTGCGTTCCTGTTTTGATAAATACACCATTAAGAATGTCAAGGAAAATCAGAGGGACTAGAACTGAATGGAACACACCATCTTTTGATTTCTGCTGATGTTGATTTACTAGCAAAAACATAACACCATAAACAAAAAACAAAGTGTGTTGGGTGCTAATATGGTGATTGGTCTAAAATTAAAGAGAAAACTAAGAATATAATTTCTAGTTACCAAAATGCAGTATAAAATCAAAATATGAGAATGAAAGTAGAACAAACTCTCCGAAAATTTGGCAAAATTCAATTATTTGGGATTAATGAGAGTGGTGAGGGGAGCAGGAAAACAATGGAAGATGGTGTATTAGAGTAAGGAAAGGCCACAGAGTGAATATATGAGGATATTTGAGATTGAAATGCCAAGGAAGAGGAGAAAATTACAAAATGAGGAGCTTCATAATTCGTACTCCCTGTGAAATATTTTAGTTGATGAAATCAAGGAGAAAAAGAGGAGTGGGACACACATGCAGTAAACATGGGGGACAGGAGTAGTGCATACAAAATTTCAGTCAGAAAAACCGAAGGAAAAAGTATATTTGGGAGTCCCAGACATTGATGGGATGAGAATGCATCTTACAGAAATAATATGGGGTTATGGACTGGATTCAGTTGGGTCAGAATAGGATCCAGTGATGGGCCATTGTGAACACAGAGATTAATCTTCATGTTCAGTATGAGACGGGGAATTTCTTAATCACCTGAGTGACTACTGGCGTCTCAGGAAGCAACCTGTATCACTGAATTATGTATTTACTTACTTACAGAGCTGAGCCCTTCTTGTGAAGTCACCAATTGTGCAGTTACTCAAAAATGTCCCAGCATTTTATGGAACCCGAAGGTTCTATGTAGTTAATTATAATGCATTTGAACATTCTGTTACTATAAATGAAGAACTGTCTAGGTGAGATGGTACACAAAGACCTATGTAATTCTAATTTATATTGCTTTTACAACCTATGTTGAACCTCATTACAATGAGAACATACAATCCTCTGAAAAATATCAAAACATATCATAAGCCACAAATGTTGACCTTATTCAGAGAAAAAATCTGACAACAGATATTATTTTCTTTAGACATGGCACCTATAACAAAATCCATTTGTGCTACAACATTGAAAGAATTTATAGTTTAAAACAGTCTTTTTAATGAAGACTACATTCTTCTGGTTAACACTGTGTGGTTCTGACAAAAACCCAATACTTCAGAGCTGGGCTGGCTGCCTGCTTCTGCTGGTTTCGTGTTTGGCTTACATTTCAACCATGACGATGGACTTCTCATAATACTATATTGTAGCATGCTGTTGCACTTTTCACTGAGCATCGATTCGTTATCACCTTACATGCAACACCATGTCCCACAAAACTTATTAAGTTTAAAAGTTCATCAATAAATATTTTCACCAGTATGGTCAAACCTGTAGTGATGAACTTCTGAACCTTTAAAATTAATACCTTTGTGGGATGTGGCATTGCATGTAAGGCGTGACTAACTGACACTAAATGATGTAGGTGGTGTTTTCCTCCAAAACATCAAGCGTTCTCTGAACTACACAGCGTTGCAACCCAGACAACAGTACTCTTCAAAGTCACCAGTGTGAGAACCTCAAATCCAACCTTTTTAATATTTATCCAGTGCTTCATTTCAGATGGTATATCCACACTGGATAGCCGGCACTGCTTTGGCAGCATAATCTGAAGATCCCAATCACCACACGTTACAAACATGCTTTTATTGTGTGAATTCCAACATTCTGTTTCCTCCAGCCACTTTTGAAACTGAACAAACGTTTCTTTGAAATAAAGTTGATTATTTACCATTTCCTACAGAAAAAAAAGTAAAATCTAGTTACAATTAGAAGCTTACATGAAAGAATGTTATTGGTACTGCAGAGGTGTTCTCTGATACATTAGTTTCCTACTACAGTTATGAAGTGAGAGATTGGAAAGAGCTTGAAAGGTAATCCAGTTTAAGACATGAATAATTCCTCACAGAACTATTGCCACAAACCACCACAGGCATACACTGCTTTAGAAACTGAACACTGGAACTGACAAATACAAGGACATTCACACAGCAAGTGGACTAGGCTTTTCAATAGATTCTAAAGGGTTCTGATGATGGTGTCCAGTGTTCAGTGACTGAGGTTAGCTCTATCCAAGGGCTCCAACAGAGTACATGTCTCTCCCCTCACCTGAGGACGGAAACATATTCAGTTTCTGAAATGTTGTTCTCTCTAGATTTTATAATACTGGACAATGGACAGTCCAAAAACCAAGTGATTCTAGGCTTTTCAGGTTTCACAAAACATATTGTGAAAACATTTATCCATACTCAATGTTTCATGCCTAGCACTGGAACATGTATGAATGCCTGTAAGACAAAGGCATTAGACTTTATGTGACTCTGGCCCCATCACAGCTTTAACAGCTAAAATACTGCATGGTTTGTATGCTTATATGCACATCTATAGCGCTTATATTGTCCTTCCACAATACCAGTACTGTAATCAATCGAATTTCAAAATTATGGTTTTATCGATACATGAAAGTCATAAACCCAGAACCTACCTGCATAATTCCAGTAAGTTCTGTGCAGAAAGGTGTTAGAACTGGATTTTCTTTTGGTTGAACATAGTGATGAAATATATCTTCTACTTCACATGTTTTTGTATTTATTTTTATACATGGAAATTCAATTATTTCCTAAAAGAAATGGTTATAATAATTGTAATATTATGCAACACAATTAATTTTAACGTACTGAAAACTAAAACCAAATGCATGTACAACAAATCCGGATTTCGTCATTTACTTATATGTTTGGCGCCATTTTTACTTGTATGGAACGTGGTAACTACTCAGTTAAAACACATTCAAAGGTTATCTCAGGCATGGATACGACTTTTTGATAAGCTTCAGGGCTTAGCTACCTATGATTACATTTCTTCCTGCCAAATACTAACTCTGTTTTCTCTTTCAACTTAAGGCTTGTCCCTTAATTCTGAAATCGAAAAAAGTGATCGGAATCACAGTTCCTCTATGTACCATTTTTTGTGTAAATTTTCTGTTCATCAATCCTATTCTGAGTAAAATCTTGTAATTATTTTGTTCTCTGTGTAATTTGTGACCAAACTGGAAATATGAATACATTGGAATTTCTTTGATCTTGGTGTCAGATGTAGAAAAAAGGCCCTCTGAGGCGGAAACATCTGTGTGACAACACATGGAAGAGTTCACGCACGTGGCCAAGTGTCACATTTCATCCTTCCTGAGATAGTGTTGAAATTTAGGCCAGACTGCATAGCAAATTAAGACAAACATACTAATTCTGGCCAACTAGAAAACACCCTTCTCATTGTCATCATCTAACAGTCAGGGAATTAGGCCATTTGTTGAAGTGTTCTGGCCTCATTTGTTCAGTAGGATTCTAAAAGGTCTTCCCTGGTTCCTTGATCAATGTGATCTGTAATTTATTTAATATTCTGGAAATCTGTTTCTTTGCGCTACTGACATGCTGAATCCAACTACATTTTACTTAGAAATATTGACCAATAGAGGTTCTGTTCCCATGTAAGGTGGATCCCTTGTCACCACAGCATGGCACATCGTCAGGTTGTGAATGGAGGAGATGGCCTCCATATATTGAGGGTAGCTATGAATATACTGATTACACAGTCGCGGACAGCCAACAAAGGGTGGTATTCCAGCTTGGGGGTTGTGCATGGGGCTAACAACTCTTGACCGTAAAAAATAAGCTTGTTATGAAAGATCACAAGAAACCTCGGACCTGGACAGACTCCTTGGATCAATTATCCCCACCCCCCAAAAGTAAAGCTATCCCTGTAACAGGCCGTGAGGTGGATAGTAATAGAGCTTCAGAAATTATTACAGAGAATATAAAAATTTCATCCAAAGAGAGTGTAGGTTATTATGAACTGAAGCATAAGCTCAAAATTATTAGCCCAAAGGAAACAAGCCAAACTACAGTGGTTACAGGATCCAAGTGAAATAAATGAGGATAATCTGAACAATACGAGATGTGAAACCAGCAGGCATTTCAAAAATAAAAAGAGGGAATATCTGAAAGACAAAATTGGTGTGCTTGCAACGAACAGTAAGAATAAGAGCATTAGAGACCTGTATTGAGGAATAAGTGACTTCAAGAAGGGTTACCAATCGAGAAGTAACTTAGTGGAGGATGAGAATGATGATCTCCTTGCAGATTCCCACATTTTGAATAGGTGGATGAACTACTTATCTCAGTTATTCAATGTACATAAGGTCAGTGATGTTAGGCAGAAAGAAATACATACAGCTGAGTCATTAGTGCCTCATCCTAGCCCTTGTGAGGTTGAAATTGCTAATTCAAAGTTGAAAAGGTATAAATCGCCAGGTAGTGATCAAATTCTGGCAGAACTTATTCAAGCAGGAGGCAAAATATTACGTTCTAAGATCCATAAGCTAATTACTTCTCTCTGGCATAAGGAAAAATTGCCTGATTAGTGGAAGGAGTGTATTACTATACCAGTTCACAAGGGTGATAACACTGACTGTAGTAATTATCAGTGCTATCAACTTCATGCAAAATTTTATCCAATATTCTTCTCTCAAGGTTAAGTCCTTATATAGATGAAATTATTGGGGATCATCGTGGGTTTATACGTAACAGATCAACTACTGATCAGATCTTTTGCATTTGTCAGACACTGGAGAAAAAAGGGGAGTATGAGACAGTATATCAGTTATTTAGACTTCAAGAATGCCTATGATTCAGTTAGGAGGGAAGTATTGTACAGTATTCTGATAGAGTTTGAGGTACCCATGAAATCAGTTAGGCTTATTAAAATGTGTCTAAATGAAACACATAGTAAAGTCTGTACAGGTAAACATTTATCTGATAATTTTCCTATCCAGAATGGTCTAAAAGAAGAAGCTTTATCACCAGTGCTCTTGAACTTTGCTTCAGAATATGTCTTTGGGAAGGCCCAGGAAAACCAGGTGGGACTGAAATTAAATGGGACACATGAGCTATTGGTCTATGCTGATGATGAACACAGAAACATTGACACTAGTAAGGAGGTCGGTCTAGAAGTAGACACAGAGAAAACTAAGAATATGTTGCTGTCTTGTCACCAGAATGCAGCACAAAATCATGACATAAAGATAGCTAACATATGTTTTGAAAATGTGGCACAGGTCAGATATTTGGGAAAGACGATAACAAATCAAAACCAGATTTAGGAGGAAATTAAGAGGAGACTGAACCCAGATAATGCTTGCTACCATTCAGTCCAGAATCTTTTTTCTTCTCATATACTGTTTAGAAATATAAAATTAGAGTATAGAAAACTATAATTATTGTCTGTGGTTCTGTATAGGTGTGAAACTTGGTTTCTGACATTAAGGGAGGAGCACAAACTAAGGATGTTTGAGAACAGGGTGCTGAGGAGAATATTTGGATCAAAGAGAGATGAAGTGACAGGAGATTGGAGAAAAGTACATAATGAGAAGCTTCATAACATGTACTCTTTGCCTAGTATTATTAGATTGATCAAGTCAAGGAAAATGAGATGGGCAGGGCATGTAGAACAAATGGGGGAGAAGAGGAATGCCTATAGGACACTGGTGGGAAAGCCAGAAGGAAAGAGACCACTAGGAAGACCGACACATATGTGGGTGGACAATATTAAAATGGACTATGAACACTGATTCTGGTTATTTACAACTGAACAGCAACAAATACTGTCATTTCTAACCCCTGAAACTTAAGATCTATCCATTGTGCTGATGGATAGATTCAATAATGTACAATTGTAGTTCTATGGACTGTGAGATTTTATGTAACATAGGTCACTACTAAGGGAGCATGCAGTAGCATAGTTGGTTGAGGCACTATGCTACAAACCAGAAAGTCGCAGGTTTGATCCTCAATGAGGTCACTGGATTTTTCAATTGACCTAACCCTTCCAGCTGCACTATGGCCCTGGGGTCAACTCAGCCTCTAACAGAAAAGAGTACATGGAAGCTTCCTGGGAGTTAAGGGAAACTGGCATATAGAACTGACAACCTCACTGTGATCTGAGAGCCAAATGTCTAGCAAATGGGAGCCTCAACATTTCACAACCCTATGGACTTCCATGGCCTGTTATGGGGATAGATTTACCTTCTTTTGGGGTCAGTAATAATACTACCTCATTATCATTAGTAGATACCAGTAAATTTGTGTTCCCTAAACAATAAAACCACATGTACAAGTTTTAACATACGAACTTCACAAAAAACAAGTTTTTTCAGATACTTAAAAATTATGGTCAGGGAATAGAGATTTATATTGTAGTCACGCCCTGTGCAACTGTTGCACACTAGGTGGAATTCTGAGCAATCACTGCACACTTGCTGACATTCATTATGTGACATCACAAATCATGCTACACAAAATACAACATATTTATCCAACCATGTCAAGATATGTTTAGAACTTGAAGATCAAAATTTTCAACACCTCTAATGGCTAGTATTAACATTAAATTCTGCATAAGATATACAGTTATACACAATAAGACTGGAATATCATTTTACTGCCGTGAATTGACAGTTTCTGCACCTTGCTTGCCAGGCAAAGCTAATCAAGACATCCTCTTTCAAAAACAAATTTTATACTTAGTTCATTTTAAATGTTAGATGATTATGCACAAAAGAACAAAGTACACACAAAAAAGGAAAAACACTTTCCCCTCAGCATCAAATACAGAAATCGAAGACAGTTTAAGAAACTCAGTCCAGTAGGTTTCATACCTGAGGCTCGATTGCTGTTCCTCTTTCACATGTAGCTTCAAAATCTAAAACCAGGAAGCTGCTGAACCTCTGCTGCTGCTTTCTCTGTTTCTTCATTCCTCTGTTCAACCAGAATGAATTTTCACGAGATTCTGGTAGTGTTGCATATTTAATAACAAATATCCAATTATTTCCCCTCCATTGTTGGTAGTTTCTTGCGCACAGTCGTAACATCATGTGTTCAATAAAACTGCACATTTACTACTCATTAAGCCGTTTAACCTACATGTATCAAATATGGAAGTCTATACTAGTACTTTATGGCTGGGAAATACAGAAAGCTCATAAGATATGGAAACAGGCTGCCTGTGATTGCACGGCAGCAGTTTACTGCACGAGTGACAATCAACAGTGCAGGACTTCTCCTTATGCAAGATACTGAGTCTTATATCAGTCCCTGCTTACACACAGCTTCATAACTGATTATTGTAAATAGTGACACAAATGTCTTATTTTATGAGAACTGCTGGAAGTGAGTTCTTCTGCTTTCAAGCACATGTTGAGCAGGTAAACAAATTTTATAACACTCTCTTCAGTTCATCCTCAGAATCTGAAGTAATTACACATTAATTTATTCCTCTGGAATTTGAGTGAACTTTCAAATACATGTTCTGTAAGTTTTCTTTCTTACAAGGATTCAACTATGAAAACTCACTGTTGAATTGTACATGTCACTGAAAAGTAATGAATTCATATCTTTTTATTTTAATCCGAGAAAGCATAACCATCAGTCACCACCATACTCTAGAAATGGTTTATCCTCATACCAGAGAGTTATGCAATAATCAAAGACAAAACATACATATTCTGGTCATAGTGGTGCTATATTTCTTTCCCATCTGAATTCTAGAAGTTTGTTGTCAATGGCATATGATTGAAATATTCCCTCTTCTTTTGATAGTATCTGCTTCTCAAGAAGGACTCTGCTCCAAGCAATTAGTTACTTTTGAAACTCCTCAGCTCAAGCATGTGCAATATGAAATGCACACACAAGTGTATTACCATATCTGAAATAATAACAAGTAGAGATCATGGTTATGTTTAATACCTTATTCTGCTATATATAAAGAAAAGTCCGTGATTTGATTACATAAAATGAACTTAAATATTGATTTGTTGGTCTTAAAATAATGTAAAATCAATTTTAATATTTGGTATAAATTTTTATGCGCTTTTATGCCGCAAAATTCGAAAAGGAAAATTTGAGGCATGGCCCCAAATGTTACAATTGCAAAAGTTTTCACAACGATCTGGCTAAGGATGGCAACACATAGACGGTGTAACTAGGTCAACAATGTACTTAGTTGGCATCAGTGCATAATCGCACATCAGACAGCTTGCTTTACTAGGCCTAGTTAGGACAGGTTTAGGTGGCAGAAGAACCTGAGGTAGGCAATCTTTGTAGAACTGGACACAAGCTGGTGCTTTCAGAAAGTTTTTTCCCACTTGCAATTAAACCATTAACAGCTGGAAACTGTGCGCGTATTTTTTCTGCGATATGGTGTAACCCATGCGCTAAACAGGTTACGTGTATAAGATTTGGATACAATACTTGTAAGGCCTTCGCTGGGGGCCGCGCCACAGCTCAAGTGGTCAGTCGCTGGCTTCTCACCGCGGCGACCTGGGTTCGATCCCGGGTCTGGTCAAGTGGGATTTGTGGTGGACAAAGTGGCGCTGGGGCAGGTTTTCTCCGAGTACTTCGGTTTCCCCTGCCAATCTTCATTCCACTAATTGCTCCACAATCACCCTCACCTATCATCAGGGGCTGGCTGGTACAATAGGTCAGAAGTGGCCACAATACAAAGGACTTAATCCCACCCCAATAGCGATAAAAAAAAAGGCCTTTGCTGCTTTCAACATATAGGAAGCTCCATTTGTGAATAATACAAGCACCTTACAACAATTATTCTCAATTTCAGATGGCCATAGTAGTCGCAGAGAATCGTTCACAAAACTTGCTATTGTGCTATGGTTGGTGTTCTCTAGTACTTTGCAAGCAAGATGATGAGGTTTACTGGGTTCGTCTGGATGTAGCTTACCAACTATGACATCTGCTATGTATCGCCACATAAATTGGTTGTCTCATCCACCGATATCCAGACACAGTTCCCTCAGATGTCAGAACAGATTGATCCCAGAGTAGATTCATACAGCAAAGGAGATATTTTTTCTAAGAGTTGATTTATGTGGGATTTTTTTGAAGTACACAATATTTCTCCAGAATTGGTCGCAGAAATGGATTGCTTAATTTATTCCATGGAATGTTGCTGCATACTAAAGCCTTACAAAGATTGCCTGAAAATGTATTAACAGAGGACTTGGGTTTGACCTGTGCAAGAAGTAGTTGTTGTAGTGTGCTGTTCTTCCCCTTCTTTTCTGTAATACTCGTATGTGCAGTCGTTCTTGAGTGTTGTTAAAGCTGAAATTTCTTTTCACATTTTACTTCCTTTGCGCAAACTTGCGGGTACACGACGACACCGTCTGTTGAATAGTCACTACTACCTGACACCCACAGATTTTTTAAATATCTACTGCTGAACTTTTCTTTGGGAATTTTCATTACACGAACACTTTTCTGATGCAAACTATTGAAGAAAAGAGTAACACATTAACTGAAGAGACTTCTCTCAACACCAACCCTCTGATGCTACTGTCTGCTGTGTTAATCAATGGAATGCAGGAAAAATCCCACCCCCTCCCTTTCGAAATAGCCAAGCTACCTGCTTGTATTGTAAGTGGTAAAAGTGCCGTTAGTTAGTTATTCGAGAGGGTGGGTTTGCCCCATGCACTTAGACCTGTAGTGGTCCACTGTGCTTCCCTATATGATTTCTACCAGTCTCTATATCCTACCGGTATTGGTGCTTACCATCAGTCCCACCCAGCCAGCGAGACCGGCTCTACTAGCTGAGAGGTATCTATAATGCTTCCCCCATCTGCCAGAGGTATTAGTGACTGCTGTTGGGCGGGAAACGTCCGCAATTTTGGCTCAGTGACCTCCTTTGGAGGTATGAGGTTCTTTTACGTGCCATAAAGCTACGACACGGGATCCACAGCTTAAAGTCCCTCCCGGAGGACTTGTTCCCTGAATTTTTCCGCCCTTAAAAATTAGACGACCTCCGCCGGGTATTTGAACCCGCGTACTACGAGTCATGAGGTGGGAACGTTACCTCTAGAATACGGAGGCCGCTTAAAAGTGCTGTTACTCATAGAGTTGAGAATAGCAACTGGCAAGGGATGTCCAAAACTCAGGCAAAACCGATTTTGTTAGAGAATATCTGAAATTATCCTTAATTTAAAACATATATGCAGAAATACATTTAGAATATGCAATAATGACCAAAAACCCTCAAAATATGCATTTGCATAAGCTCATATGCATTTTCAAAAAATCCGGACCCTACTGATCACACTATAACTTTTGTCAGTGGAATGGATCGTCTTGATTCTTTACTATAACCTCCGCTCATTCTACCACATTCATGTAAGATTTTTTTTTTGAGATAGATTCATACAATCTGTCCAATTAAGGACAATGAGCACTTTTGTTGACTGATGTGGAACTATGTCATTAACAGTGTTAATAAGGCTATCCCAGTAGATGCCTTAAGATTTGTGGCATGTATACACTTAAAACTAGCTAAATCTATCAGATAGGTCTGACGGTTTGAATCTTTTTAATCTCCTAACTTCATCTTCATGGGTTAGTAGTGAGGCTGCGAGTTCGTTTGGATGTACTTGTAGTGTCCAACTGTACTTAGCACTACACTTTTTAATTTCNTGATGAGGTTTACTGGGTTCGTCTGGATGTAGCTTACCAACTATGACATCTGCTATGTATCGCCACATAAATTGGTTGTCTCATCCACCGATATCCAGACACAGTTTGCTCAGATGTCAGAACAGATTGATCCCAGAGTAGATTCATACAGCAAAGGAGATATTTTTTCTAAGAGTTGATTTATGTGGGATTTTTTTGAAGTACACAATATTTCTCCAGAATTGGTCGCAGAAATGGATTGCTTAATTTATTCCATGGAATGTTGCTGCATACTAAAGCCTTACAAAGATTGCCTGAAAATGTATTAACAGAAGACTTGGGTTTGACCTGTGTAAGAAGTAGTTGTTGTAGTGTGCTGTTCTTCCCCTTCTTTTCCATAATACTCGTATGTGCAGTCGTTCTTGAGTGTTGTTA